TTTCAGGCAGGAGTATAGACACTGTGTCCCAAGTGTACTTTAAAACGGCTCTTTTATGAGTGGATACGCTTCAAGAACTCACCATCGATGCACACCGGGTCGCATATTTTTTGGTTGAAAGGGGGACAAGTGGATAATTGCATTTTTTGTAAATGACTATAGTTATTGTTGCTAATAAATTAGCAATTTGCTTCCGAATGCATCCTCCTCTTTTTCCAATTCTTATTTCACCATTCCCTTCTTCTATTTTTTCGTGTCATAGTTGGAGATGTGGAATGACCGTCAGTTTTATTTCGGTCATTTTTGGGTCAGTTTTCAAGGGTTCGATTGGACAACTTTTTAATAGAATTAAATTATTATCATTTATTATTGTATTTATCTATTATTATCAATGGCCGAGATCTCAATGATACAATGTTAGGAAAAAAAATGAAATTTCGTGGACAGTTGACTAGTCATTTTCCGGACAGTGTCACTGAATGCAATTTAAAGGGGAAAATTCATGAAATTTTAGATTTCACTGAAAATTCAATAAAATTCGAAAATTCTGAGGAGTAAGAAGACGAGACGTCATCAATTTACTTGAATTTTCAAATAATTGAAAACTCAAGAATATGTTTACTGAAATTCCCCGGGTTGCTACTAATTTTCAAGGAATAATTGAACTAAAATTTACAGTTTTCATTAATTTTTCCCCGAAATTCAGAATTTTCAGTGACAAAATTCCTTGAAATTTCAGCGGAACTTAAATGTGATAAAAATTTGCGAAAAGTGTATTGGAAATTCCAGTTGAAAATTTTTAACAGTGTAGAAATCGCTGGACTAGTTGGCGGTCATTTCATGCCTATGGCCAATGGTAATTTTTTCTTTTGAAAATTTGGTAATTACCGGCCAGTTTTGTCACTCACATCTCTAAACTTGCTACACAATGATGCTGTTCTCACCACCTTTCAAGTTGATTGAGAAGGTATTGAAATAAATTATTGGAAAAATATAAATTCTTTCGAATCTTCAATGGATAGAGTTTATTAAAGTCGCTATTCATGAAAAACTTCATGAAATTCGATAGATTACTTGTAAGAAAATGTCGAAAAAAAATTAGAAAAATACCGCACTAGATACATACATGCATACATATAGACGCTATCTAAAAATTTTATATTCGGACTTTTTAGACGATATTTAGTTATCCTATCACAAAAAATTGGAGACTTAAATTTAAACGATTACAAACTTGCATTCGAAAGCAAAATCGTTTTTTCATCACGCTGTGACGAAAAGTGAACTTTTCGGCACGCTCCGCTTGCCAAAAGTCCAATGTCCGCCACATTGTGATGAAAAGTATTGTTCGTAAATATACTATTTTATGAGTTGATACGCTTGAAAAATTCACCATCAACCTTCATTAGGTCGCATATTTTTGGGTTAAAGGGAGATAATACGATAATGAGATGCGCATGTACAAACTTCATTCCAACATAAATTCCGGGGGGAGTGATACATCGTTGAGGTTTTAATCAAGCCCTCGAGGGGGTTTGAATAACGGGTGAACAAGATGGAAGGGATTAAGTAGTGAAGCAATGCACTGGTCAGACGTGAGATTGTTCGTTATTATGCGAATCTCTCGGTAATCCGTTGTTTCGATTGAGAAAAAAAACAACAAAAAGTTACCAGATAACCGTAGTGAAAAATTACTAAGAGGTGTAGATTAATTCCTCGTCAATGTATTCTTTCTATAGCATAACCCTATGGAGTTCTCTCAGAGCAAATGATTGTCGTATAATAAAAGATATTTTTATCCTGATAAGGCCCCGTCTTGTATGAATGATCCGCCTCTTGAGCCAAATATTCCGTTGTTGTTGAAAACAGCAATTATTCGTGTGTGAGACATTCAAATTCGAAGCAAACATTTATTTTTAACTAACGCTTTTGTTGGCCGAAACAAGACTTGTTTGAGAACTTGTTCGTTTTTCTCTTGAGTAGATCCACAAATTTCCGATAAAAGTTTTTTGAGATTCACAGATATTCACGACTTCCGGTAATCATTAATTTTGTTGACAAAAATCCCAAACAACTTCTTCGCAGGTCTAAAAATTTCGTAATTTTCTTTTTTTCGTTTGTCTATTCATCATAAGTTAATTGTTATTTCCTCAATTTTCTATCAATCACGAACGGGTCCGTCGACATTTCCCCATAAAGTCGATAATTAACGGAATGATCACGATTAACGACAGGAAAATTAATGGTCTCGGATAACTCCCACTTGAGCTCTTGAAATCATCTTGTCATAACTTCTCAAAAGTCATCCACCTGATAAATGGTACTCTCACACGATGAATGATCCTACATTTGTCTCCATGAATTGTAACTTCGTGAGAGAGGGTAGGCATTTCATATTTGTGTAAAAAATACTCCGGAGAAGTTTGATTCCCTAACGACCTCATCAGTCCTCCCCACTCTTCATCAGACTCATCTTTTCTTCTCTTCAGTGTCATATATGAACGAAAATCCTCAGTCGCTGTCTGATGAAATTACCCCGTAGCTCAAAGAAGACTGCAGGATCAAAAAATATACACGTACGAGGGTACAGCCTCTATCTCAGATATACACGCAGAAGTTTCACATGCAGAACGCGTGGATTGTAGATATTATCATGCCTACATCTGTTGTTCCCTCTTCAGATAATTCTTAAGCTATTATGAATTTTTATTATTTATACAGAAGAAAGGTTTCATCGGATAATCTAAAATACTAGGACTTTGAGTGTTTTTATCGGTGAACTCAAGGATATCCAAGAACTTTGGCGATTTTTTCTCCAGTGAAATGATTTTCTACTTTTGTAGTCGACCATCAGAGCTTTCATTTGCGCCCCATGTGAGCCCATGTTTCCGGTCATTTTGCAATGACTTTATTACGTGAACTTTGCTTTGTTCAAACTTGTTCACTGGTTTTACGAAAAAGTATTGAATTATATCAAGTAAACAATTTATTTATTCCAAATAAATCATTTATTGAAATCAAATGAACAATTTATTGATTTCAAATGATGAGTTTTCATAAAATAATGAGTTTTATTTTAAGAAAATCACATTTTCCTGTAATTTGTGAAGGAAATTCGCAATTATCTTCCAACCATATTCTTGTGCCGTATAGAAAAAGACCGTTTCACTTCGCCGCATTTTCCCTTAATAATTATTGCATTATTCTCTTTCAATTTTTTCGAGTCAATTTCAATCCCATAGCGGTAATAAATTATTAGTATCGAATACATTTTTATCAAGTCCGAAGAACAAGTGTATTTAATTCACACAAAGAAATTTTCTCAATCTAAGAAAAAATTTTAATTATTATAAATGAAGAATTTGTTTGCATTAAATAAAGATTTATCAGTAATAAAAAACGCCTTTTATTTCAACAAACAAACCCTAAAATGAAGAAAAATTTTTAAATTGAATAAAAACTTCATGTTATACTATTCGAATAAACTTATTGATTTGATTCAAATAAATAATTTTTCTGAGTATGATTTATTGCCTTTTTGCTGTCACACATCTGCTGACTCACGTACTCCACTCTTTTCTCTTTCAGTCAGTTTTTCATTTATTCCACCCTTCAAAAACCCGTACACATACTACAGATGCCACACGGAGAATAATCTCTCAATTCCTGAGGGTTATGAATTACTTCAATGTCTATATCAGCCTTGATAAACACAATTTTTTACATACATTTGTCATGTAGAGTGAATTACTACGCTCATATCGCATCTCGAATATCACTCGAGTGACCCCCCCCCCTCCCCCAAAGCTGATAGGCCTGTCCACAAGAAAAAATGTCTTTAGTAAACTTCATGGGGCGAGGGAGGACATTTAGGGATGATAAATCACACGTCACACCCTCAGGGGCAGTAAGGAGGTGTGTTCAATAAACTGGAGGTACGTTTTTTTTTAATTCCCTGATTTATGTCCAGTTTTCGGGGCGTTGTCAATGACAATAGATCGTGCGTCAATTTGACTCTCATAAGAGCAATCAGACCAACCAGAATTGAGGATCAGCGCAGCCAGAAAAATTGTTTTTTTGAATTAAATATCACCCAAAGAAAAATGTACTTCTCACCAGACCGACCGGTACTTGGGGGAAGTTCACTTGCGAAAAGTTCGAAAAATACTCGGCCCAAGTACTTTTAGTAATTGCGAGAATCTTAATTCACATTTTTGAAATCGTAATTCACGTTGTTCTGACCGTAATTTACGATCTCAAAAGCGTAATTTACCCGTTTGAGAAAATCGTAAATTACATTTTTGAAAACGCGAAGTACCATTTTAAAAACGTATTTTACCTTCAGATTTTTCTGTGTGTTCACTTGTGCTCCAACATTTGGATCTTCATTTATAATCTTGAATGAATTCCTGAAAAAAATTATGAGTACTGGATTTGAGTACTATTGCTACTTATATTTTCTTTTGGTACTTTTGAAAAGTACCAGCCAGGTACTCAGTGCATCTACTTTTTTCACTTGTCCCGAGTAACAAAAGTACTTGTGACAAGTACCGAGGTACTTGACGCATGATACTTGCATCCAGTTCTTGTGTGACTTCGAGGAAGTACAAAATTTGTCTTTTCCCCAGAACCCCTTGGTACTGAGTAGAAGTACTTCTACTGATCAGAAGTAATTTTTTTTAGTGTAAAATTTATTTGAATCATGTAGATCCTCCATTACGACCAAATAAAGGATCTAGTTGATTTAAATAAAGTTTATTCAATTCAAACGAACCACTTTTCTGTGTGCCCTCAGGCAGTTTCAATATATTTCAATATAAGCCAACTTTATGAAGCTTCCGTCTTTCCTAGATCGATAGAATCAAGAACATAAGTCTAGAACTTGAAAACTTTTTCTCTGTAATTGATCACCAGCTTCTGAATATCTCTCTCGAGTTAAATTCCCAATTGCAGAAACAAACCCGACTAACTAAAAATAATCGCCATTTTCTTTGTTAAAGGCTTACGAGGAACTTGAGGAGCTCCTATCAAAATATCAAATATGCATTGCCATCAAAGAGAAGCTTGTGAAGGATTCCGGGGTTGCCGATGAAACGGCATACGACAGTATCGTGCAGAAGCTACTAACGAAGCCCAGGGCCCGAGGTAAAAGCTAAAACTCATTTCTCTTCATATCACTATCATCAATATAACACAAACAATTTTCATGGTAATGATACTGCTGGTTCACCAGATATGATCGTCGAAAACGTTAAAGTAGCTCTACCCTTACGGCTTGAGTCATTAAGGTATATCTCTAGGAAACACGTTTTTCTTGTGATTCTCCCCATGTTTTTGAGAGATAATGTTTATAATAGTCTGGGCTATTGAAAAAATGGTAACTAGCTCTTCTACACAGGTTCGGAGATAACAAATTATGAAATCCGGGCTTTCAACACACAAGGCATAGGCCAAATGAGGGAACACGGTGAATTTTTTCCGTTTCCTTCATGCGTTGATCAATCTAGGGTTAGAGTGGAAGTTTGCGAAATGTATGAATCGAATCCACCTCTGCAATATTCATATTGGATATTATTTTTTTAAATTTATTTAATTTTGTTTGTTGTTAGCCCCGTCGAGTTAATCGACTGCCAAATGGTGGGTTTGCGAAAGGGAAGAGCGTGCGTTTCGATAGAATTCGGCTCCACTGCTTTTGTGGTAAATTTCACTTTTTCCCGTAATCCTTTCTCCAGAGAAAAGCACATCTTCTTCAGCAGAAATAGAAAATTCAATTATCGGGAAAATCGAAAAGCCCTCGATTCTATTATGAAACTAGGAAGAGAGTCAGACCACTCTAGAGTTTGCGGATATCGAAACTCATTCATGTTGGGAAGTGGTGAAAGCTGGCCAATAGGAAAATCTAGTGCAGATTATTTCATCGATGGATGTGAAGTTTTTTGTTTCGACTCCGGAAGGAAGTGTCTCGAGACTTTTGTCGTTCACAAACTAAAAACTAATAACTCACTGATTTAAATGGTGCCTTCACCTCCCGGAAAATTTCTTTCAAACTAAAGATGAAATTTCAATTTTTTTCTAACAAATCTTATTATGAGATCTATTTTTCATTCTCCGAACAATTTGTAAAGAATTAAATAGAGTATGATTTTTTTAATAACCTGTTTTTTTCATATGGAATTTCAAAAGAAAATGTCTGGAGATTTTTTCCTCTTTTTTCCTCATTGTCTCATTAATCGATTAATTAATTACTAAATGAACGCATTCATCAATCAAGCTCATCAACTTAAATTCATAAATCGCTTCTCGTTTAATTCAGGTATTTTTTAATGATAAAATATAGAAAATAAAATAAAAAATATCTACGAAAAGTATCTGAAGTTCAAACAGTTTTTGTTATGAATTTAATAAATTCCAGGCTCTCCCCCTCCAGCCCATTTTCCTCATATTAATTAAATACCAAAGAGTTTCTTCATTCTTCCGATCAACTTTTATCGTTCACGAACTAAAAACTAATAACGCCCTGATTTAAATGGTGCTTTGATCTCACTGGAAATTACTTTCAAACAAAAGCTAAAATTTCAATTTTTTTCTAACCGATATTATGAGATATATTTTTCGTTCACAAAAGCAGACAAAATAATAGTCCAATGCCTCATGTTGTGCTTTGATCTTACGTCAGAGCGGAAAGAATACTGATCGTGAGACACAGGCGATACGGTTGAGAACAATGAGACGAAGAAATTAAATTAAAGGAGAAAGGAACTATCAAGGCGCAGCTATGGGTGCAGATGTGATCTTCAAAGTTTTCTTTCATCGGTGAGGACAGTTGAAATAAGAAAACGCTCGTTATTTTTCTTCATCAATTTTTGCGGCCACGGGGAGCCTCAGAAGCAACTCCAATCACTTCGTCCGCGACATGACAATGATTTTCTTGGTTTAAAACGTACAATACGTGGGAAAAATCTCAGAGGTACCTTTTGATCTTTGTCAGCGGTGTATGAGTTATATCGCTGATGGCTTTCGCGTCTTAATCCAAACTGATCACTCCCCGGGTTCATAGGGAGTCTATAGGGGCTTCTCCTGGGAACGAGGAGTGGCAAAAAGTGATGGTGAGATACGACTCGGGATCAAGGGGATTCGAGGGTTTATTGGGTTGAAACAAGTGTTGAAGAGGCTTATCGTCTTTTTCAGGGATTTTTGGGGGAATTTGGAAGGGAACTTTTGGGAAAGCAGTTGAGCAAGTAAAAATTACGTCCTGAGAGTTTTTAATTTTTAAGGGGATGCGTTGGTGAAATTAGATTCACCAGTAGATCATGAGAAAGTGAATTTTGAATTTCATAACATTGTCACGTCTCTAGAGTAGAGTAAATGAAAATGATTTTTTTAAAGTCTTTCTATAATGCTCTAATCTTTGGAAATCTATCAGCAGCTTTCACACGCGGATTCTCAAAGTAAAAAATTTGAAGAATAGTTTTCGTCCGTGGTAGAAATGTTTCAACTTACCTTCTCCTCAGTTCTTTCTTCATCTTGAAAGATTTTTTTTTCACGTATCTGGGTTCTTCGGTCCTCTTTTTGCCGGAGGTGAGTAATGTGAGGAATAGCTGCTGGAGGGTCATTACTCGTTCGTGTTCTCCCATGGGGATGCTCATGTGGGCACAACGTCTGGATACTTGTAGGTTTTTCGTTTGGAAGTGAATTTGGCGGAAAAGTTGCTCGTGAGGTAATGAGGGCCATTACGATTCAGTGTGACCATTCGAAAATCTTGGACGATTGCTCGGACGATATTTATCACTGATTGAGGAGTCATATTGCGCGGAGGACATTTGATTTCTTTAATTGAAAACCAAATTTACTAAAATATTTTATACTTGATTCTGGTATAAAATGTACTCAATTCAAGTATATTTTTTTCCGTGTACGAACTCCAGACCGTTTTTCTCTGATTCTTACAGAACTCTCTTAGAATGAATGAAGATTTCACGAAAATCCAGGACTTTTCGCTCTCGTTTTTTCAACATTACAGAGTTACGAAATTCAACAAATTTAAATGGAAATAGGAAACTCTTGTATTTTGTTTTCAAAAACAAAAACTCGTTGAATGCCAATAAAAAAATTCCACGAAATAAGAGAAAATTTCAATAAAATTTAAATATCTCAAATTTACTACAATATCTTGTCGGGATCGGAACTTTCTGTCTGATTTTCAGAAAATAGTTCACAATTAAGATCAAAAACATTAATTTTAAAAAGTTGTCTCTGAAGATTATTCAATATAATATTTACTTTCCAGTAACATTGTTTTTTTTCCAGGCATTTTCGGCAAATATCAAACAAATAACTGTCTCATTAATTTTTCCTGTATGAAATTGAAACATTGAATTGGAAACATTCGTTCAAATAAATGTCTCCAATTAAATTTAACTCACTTTGTTTCAAATTTGTTTGTTCAAAATAAACCTTTGAAATATTAAACCATTCTTCATGCTTCCTAATTGTGCCAAGAATAATTACTCTTCGTCAATTATTTTCTCCCTATTCTCACATCGACGTGAATAAATCTGGAAACTCCACTCACAATTATGCAGGTAGACTCATTGTGAGAATGATTAATTACGAGCCGTCACGAGCTCCGCTGCACAATAGCGAGAACTGGAAAAACTTTGATTTTTTTATTTGTTTTCGCTTGTGATATCGAAATTCCCGGAAGAAATCGAGGATTTCTGCTGCTCTATTTTAAGTGTTGAAATAAGAGGTCACTGGGGATACCGATGTCGCGTTTGCGGGCGATTAAACGGGTAAAGGGTAATTAACAGTTTCATCAGTTCGGTGATGAATGATTGTGCATTTATTTGTTTTTACGGTTTATTCAGCGGATATTTTTACATTTTACGTAATCGTTCGAATTTAAGTTTTGGATTTTTTGTGTTACATCGACCCATTATAATCCCAAAATGAAAAATTTGAAATTTTTTTCTTAAATTTATCAATACTCAGGGCAGCTGGTGCCTGTACCGCCCCCCCGTATTTCTGAGGATTGGCTGAGAATTTTTTTTTTCTTTTTTTGTTATGCAAATATTTGATAACCACAAGCAATTTCAACAGAAATTTTTAATATTCTCCCGTGGAAACACCGTTAAAAACGATCGAAATAATTTTCTACCGAATTCTTAAAATATTTCGATCTCAGAATTTAAGATTTTTCAAATTTCCAGTTGGTCCATAATTGAATGGTGTGCGAAATATATGTTCGTTATACATTTCCACATCCATTGCGATCTTTTCGATAGCAGAAAAATATCTTCATCAGTTATTATTGGTTATTTTATGTCCCTCCGCGTTTGTGGGTGATTCCGCCCAGAGTTTGTGGGTAATGCCGCCCAGGGTTTCTATAGGGCTGCTAGACTCTGCAGCTACAGGGCGGTCGAGTGACAGCTCAATTGTTTGGGGTATCCGGTAGCCACTGAAACTGCGGGTAAATTCAAGATAATTTATTATTATTCACGTGAAATCTTTCTCAAAAGGAGCCAAAGAATGGAAGCGAAGGATGAAAATAGGAAAAATTATAACAATTGTTCTGCATTGCTCAAAAAAGTCATCAAAACAAAGTGAGCGGTATTGGACGCATGCCGGGCGGTATTACCCTCAAAGTTCGATTCCATCGCTCACTGGCCGATGGGAATTGAATTACATAATTAAATATGTTTAATGTCAATAAAAAATCTGTCCTCTTCACATCTTCGAGTAAACACCTCGAAGAACCCATTCTGACCATTTATGACTCCTTGTAGAGTGCGACGCTGGAAAAAAGACTCAGTTCCCTTAGGTGGGCGGTACATGCCTCAGCTGCCCTATACATTCGGAATAAAGATTTCCAAGGAAATAAATCGCGATGTGATATCCTAAAAATTCGTCGAGATGCAGAGTAATACGCTCATTCACTTCTCCGAACTCCCTTCACGATTAAAAAAACAAATTGATCAAGAATCACGGAATTGTTTCAATTTAGTAATCCTCAACTGACCGAGTTTCCACTTTCTGAAACAGGATGCATTATATTCGGATCCGATCAGGAGGTAGCTGGCGTAATGAGAGCAGTCAGGCGGTGCAACGCAACTGGTGCATTTTCCTGGATTGGTAGTGATGGCTGGAGTGCAAGGGGACTAGTCAGCAATAATAATGAGCCCGAAGTCGAGGGCACATTGTCTGTTCAACCGCAGGCAAATCCTGTCGAGGGTTTCGAGGACTATTTCCTCAGTCTAACTGTGGAAAATAATCGGAGGAATCCCTGGTTCGTGGGTAAGTTTCATTAGAATTATATGCTTGAGCCAGGAGCGAGAAGAGAGAGATTTTCACGTTCAATACCGGGGAGATAATGAGGATTCAGATATCAAATCCTCTTGCGCTGTGTAATAGCATCAGTTCATTCAAATTGTGAATTACGATTAATTGATATGAATAAGACAGTTATTTATCCGTGAAAATGCAGTTTAATTATGCATCTCGGGGGATAATGTATTTGCGTTTTCACTCAAATCAAATAATATTTTTTTTGTATGTGAAGTGCAGCGAGATAAAAAATAAGTTGTGAGGAAAAATTATGTGTTCCCCTGAAGATTCTTTTCGTGTTGAATCAGTTTGCTTGTGGACAAATAAGAATGTTTCCCTCAAAATATGATAACTTACGTTTTTATTTTGACCCTAGAATACGTTTAGCAATAATTAATTAACGTTCAGGTTTTTCTGCGTGTAAATTTTCGCCAGTCAGCGGGGAAAAATTCACCATTCGTCTCGCACTTTTTACCCCGATATAGAGTAAAAAACACCTGGAAAGGGATTCCGCTCCACAATTGTTTGATTTATTTGGTAATTTTTCTCCAACTTTTTTCTCCGTGTGGACGGCTAAGAGAACTAATTAATTTACACGTAATGATTCCTCATTTGAAATGAATGCATTATTTATACCGTATGATTACAACACTTCCATTGATAGTAAAGTTACGAGTCCATTCGTTTTCAACAAAAATATTGTTGCGATAAATAGAAAAATCTCAAATAAAGAATTTTATTCGATTCATATGCGTTAGTTATCTACGAAACTTTGAGTTGACAATCTCAAAATGTTTAACAACTACCAGTTCACATGAATTAGTCGTAAATGTTTCTACTCACAAATCAATTAATTTCAGAAATATTCTACGAAAATTGAATTTTCAGATCTGTATGATAATAAAAATGACTGAAAATAGTAAAAATTCGGGCAACAATCGTTCCAGCAATTTCCAGTCTAAAGGAAATTCAAGATGTCCTTGTAATATTAGTGATGGTCTAAAATGAAAAGTTCTATTCCATTGAATTCCTTAAAGGAATAACAAATTTCATGAACGATTTCATCTCAAATTAAATTCACGTTCTCAACGTAAATTCAACGCAAAAATCCGACGTAAATTAAAATGTAGTTATTACTTCAATTGCAAAATGAATCTTAATAATGAGCAGAAATATAGAATCGATTTGAGTTATTGATGATTCAATTCACTGATTCAGTTTGACATAGAATTGTTTCCATAAACTGTAAATAACTATTTGATTGAAGTGATTATACAGTCGCAGTGCCTCGGCTTTCAGTTGAAATTGCTTTAGTATCTTTCGAGATCACTCAGAAGATACGGAAAAGCATGAATATTCATGAAATGGCATTTCGTTCACTGAACTCAAACACTAATCCAACAACTCGGTGCTGGAACAAGGTGCACTCGGTGCAGTTAAGTTTCATGGAGTTTTAAGTTTGGAAATTGATTCACTTTTTCGGAGGGATTATTCATTAGGCAACTTTATATCCGGAGGGCATTTCGCGAATGTCAATTTTAGGAGAGTTTACAAATTCTCAAATATTCATTGACTTTAACATTTCCATTAATCAAGGGATTATTTCGAGGTAGAGTGGCTTTACGAGATAATGTCAGAAATCCTTTTCTGCGGAGAATTTAATTTTCTACAAAAAGACCTTTGGATATTATTTACTAAGGCGATAAGGTCATGCTGTTAAAATATAATATATGCACTGAGAGAAATTGTTCAGAAAAATTCGAGTGAGAGTACTGGAAAAATTACAATCCATCGAAGTGCTTTGGTTTTTTCTCTCCAGTGAAATACTTTTCTACTTTGCTAGTCGAATATCAGAGGTTTCATTTGAGCCCCATTTGACCCTAACTTTCCGGACGTTTTACAATGGTTTTATTGTTTAAACTTCGCAGGTCTGAATTTAAATCTCGATATTGACCCGTTAGAAAATATTTTAAAAATCTGAAAAAAATTAGAAGATGTCCTTTTGGAGGAAGATTGATAAAAAAATGAAAAAATGTCAATTTTTGAAAATTACGAGCTTTTTTTATAAATTATTTGTAAAGAATAAATTTTCCACCATAAAAATCATGTGTTCGGAATCGAAATAAATTGATTCACGTCCAGAATATTACCAAAACTCAATTTTATGCCTAAATAAATGAGGTTTACGAAATTTTAAACAATTTCAATCATTTATTTATAAACAACGAATGTTAAAAAACATAATAATTTTGTTCAAAATGGAATTTAACGCTGTAAACTGTAAAACTGTCCCAGCAAGCTGTAAAAGACACTTGAATATCCTAAGTACGAGAAAAAAAGAATTGTTATACCCAATATTTTTCCCTGGCCGTCACTTTGCGCTCTTTTCTCGCGCTAGAACTAGAACTTTTCTAGAGAATTTCCCTCCGCGTGCAATATCCTCAAATTATTCTAATCCCTCCGAACTCCCCACCATTCTCGAATAATTGAACAATTCAATTAATTAATTATACAAATTCCAGAGTTTTGGGAGGATCACTTTGAATGTCGGTATCCAAACTCCTCGGACACACCCTATAATCAGAGACACAAGAAGAACTGTACAATTCAGGAACGGCTGACAAAGCAGAATACCGCCTTTGAGGATCAACTGCAGTTCGTATCAGACGCTGTTATGGCATTTGCTTATGCATTCCGGTAATATCCCCCTGCAAACATTGCCAATGTTCATTTTGATGCCCTTTATACTGCCACAGGAGACGAACTTCTATATCATGACATAACGCAATTTGTAACTGATTCCCCGCAGAGATATGCACGCTGACCTGTGCCGGGGGGAGTTTGGCCTTTGCGACGCTATGAAACCCACAAAGGGCACAGAGTTATTGAAGTACCTCAGGAAAGTCGAATTTGAGGGTAAGAAACGGAGCTTGAGATATTTTTGCTTCCAAACGGAAACTTTGCAATCGTTCAAATTTAAGCTGCGGATTTTTTGTGTTATACCGATCCATTACGATCTAAAAAGTCCGAAAATGCAATTTTTAGTGACACAGGTTTCCTTCAATTGATTAAAAAAAATAATAGTGGAAAAAATAATAGTAGAAAATAATAATAACAGTGAAATAAGAATAAGAATTTAAAAAAAAGGAGAATGCATTCAGAAACAAATTGCTAATTTATTAGCAACAATAACTATACACATTTATAAAAAATACAATTATCCACTTGTTTTTTGTCGAGAAATGGATCATTTTGGGGTACATTTTATGGTGCAGGTCTGACTGGTGACAAATTTCACTTCGATAAAAACGGGGATGGCCCCGCCAGGTACAATATCATTCATTTCAAGCAAGTTTCACCAGGAGTGTACAAGTGGATACGAGTGGGACAGTATCTGGAGGGAGAATTGAGTCTCAACATGTCAGGTGAAATACAAAGAGGGATTTCAGAGTTTTTCAAATTTTATCCAATTTTTGTCCATAATTTTTGGTGATTATGTATTCATCTCTTCAAAACGAACGGTTTCCGGAGAATATGTGAGAAATGTTTTCGCTCAGGCGAAGGTGGAGCGAAGTGGAACGCTCGTTATCCGCTGCAAATCCCAACATCTCTGTTCATAAACAAAGATTTCAGGATTTATAGTGAATCACAAACGCTCCACCCGATAATAGATGTGGGAAAGCTGTGGAATTTTATATGGAATCGGTAAAAGCCTGATAGATCTCTCAGGAAATGATCAATAGAATCTTATAGAATTTTCTATTCAATTCACTAGGCTTATCTATGAAATTTTCCGTGCATTTTTTTGAATCACACGCATGAAAAAATTCAATTGAAAACCTAGCGAATTCACTAGAAAATTCTATAGGAATGCTATGGGAATTCTATAGGATTTCTATTGGATATTCAATAAGAAAAAGCCAATATATTTCGAATTTCTGTTGAAATTTTTCTCTTGAGATTTTTTCTATTAGATTTATTGGGCACAAATTTTCTAAGTTTTTTCCGCTGTATTTTGTTTCATTTTGCATTACAAAATCCGAGTGGAAAAAACTTGGAAAATTGATGCCCAAGCATTCTTATAGAAAAAATGTCAAGAGAAAATTCCAAACAGGGATTCGAAATTTATTGACTGTCTCCTATCGAATATCCAATAGAATCAGCGCAAAAAACAAATAGAATTTTCCAATGGAATTTCAATAGAATTTTCTAGCGAATTCGCTAGGTTTTCTATTGAATGTTTTCATGCATGCAGTTCAGAAGCGTTAAAAGCGCCTACACTGAGAGAATAACAGCAGAGTTCACAAACAAGTCTTACTTATGCCAAATAAAGCGGTTGTTAAAAATGATCAAAAAATGATTTTAATGCGCCAAACATGAGAAGCGTACGCCGAAATTGAAACCTGTTATTGCAAAAATAGATTTAGTCTTTTAAAAAAAATTTTATTCTCTGTGAGAAGAAGTAGTGCAAGAAATATAATATCTAGCACTACTTCTTCGTTATTCGATGCTACCACACGTATTTTGCTCCCGGCAAATGCTCGTTTTATATGAAACGAGGGATAGTAGTTTGTCGTTTCGGCAATTCAATAATTACAGACAAAAATGAATTCTTAAATGAAATAATAATAGAGATATGACCGCAATCTTGTAACTTAGGGACACAATATTTCTTGATAAACTTCCCTCTATAAAAGATATTTTTATCCTGCAAAGGTACCGTCTTGTACAAATGATCCGCCTCTTGAGCCAAATATTTCGTTGTGTTGAGAGCAGAGCAATTACCCATGTTTGAGACGTTCAAATTCGAACCAAACAATAATTTTTTTGGTAATTCTCAACCAACGATTTTGTTGGCACAAACAAGACTTGTTTGAGAACTTGTTCGTTTTTCTCTCACTGTAAATTCCTCTATCAGTGCATAATTTGCCAGATCATCCCCCATTACCGAACAAATCTCTAAAGTTCTGAAAAAAACCCCTTCAAATAAACTCCCTCATTACTCGTCAACTCTTGAAATTTCCTTTCCGCCCTTCATTGAATGCCTTATAATTTCCGTTTTAGATATCCAATTTGGCCTTGGTAATCCTCAACCACCGGAAAGCGTCTGTTCATTACCCTGTCGAGTCGGCCAAGCAAAAAAATATGTCGAGGGCGAGAGCTGCTGTTGGCACTGCCTCGATTGCACCCAGTACCAGGTTGATATTACCTCAGTGACGTTATTCCACTATTTACTGAATATCAAGCCCCATCAAAAGTCATTGCAACTCCAATAGCCCGAACATTTCCGTCGTTTGATCGTGCGATTAATTTTTTCACTCTGGCTGTTTCCAGGATTTGTCCATTGTTTTCACTGCTTTGTTTTAGATCAGACATGCGGAAGATCAAACGAGGTGTGTGCAGTGTCCCCAGGGGACCGTTCCTGATGAAACACATTCCCATTGCAGGGATATTCCCGAGGAATTTCTCAAGCCCGATAGCGGATGGGCTATTGGCGCCATGTCGTTTTCCGCCAGTGGAATACTCGTGAGTTTTTTTTCTTTTACGAGCGTTGGTGCCCCTCCATTATGCTCTTGATCCGGTCAGATTCAATATTTCTTTTTTCAATTCATTGTTTGTAATCATTTTCACTGCAAAAAGCAATACGACCGATGAAAATCATATGTCCTAATTTATCAGCTGTTGAATTTTCGTGTTGCAATAAACAATTTGCTCATTTTCTAATTCCTATGCTCACTGAATAACATTTTAATAGTAAACCGAAAAACGGTGTGGACTTATTTTCACTCGGTTTAGTGTGGACTCAGAGTCGGAATTCACTCTGGATTTTTTACTGTGTAGTTTCAGAATTTTGTCAACTTATTCAAAATGGATTAATTAAAAACCGAATTACAGAGATTCGCATTTGCCATTTTGCAAATATCTCTATTACTGATGGGTCCAGGAAAAATGTGGTATTGTAGGATTCACGGTTATTGGTTCGGGAATACGAAATCACTACACAGGCAAATTAACGTATAACAAGTTTATTCGCCGAAACGTTAAAGATGAATGTATAAAAGTAATGATAATACTAATTGACGCGAAGTATCGCGTATCGTGAATGTTGATAGACTGTCCACTCCCGGGGTAATCACGATTCGGGACATTAGAGATGGGTGCGAGTCCTCTGGGTGGGGGTGTGAGTGACGGGGAGTAATCGTCCCTCAATCCCTTTTACTATCCATAAAATTGTTCATAGGAAAATGTTTCTCTGACGGAAGGAAGGGATCTGGCAGATCCCTTCCTCCGGTAGATATCACCGACGAGAATCTAAAAATCTGTGTTAGATGTCTTTCTATTAAAAACTTCACCGATAAATTGATATTGTGACATTTTAATCATTTACGACGGGATCGAAGCGTCAGTCGATACCTCATTAATTTTTCCCATCGTATAATGTCACCTTTGAGATATTTTTCCATCAGTTTGAATATCAGAGGAGTTTTCAAAGGTTTCTCGGTAAAGACATCTTCGTGATACATATTTCCTAGGATGTTGCTTCATTATGAATCCCCTCTTCTTTTGTAGAATAATGAAGAAAAATAAAGATTCCATTTGTATTTTGTTTCAGCTCCCCTATTTACATAATTTATGTTTCCAATTTAAAAATTGCAAGAAAAAAAATTCAACGATTCGCGTTACAATTTACAATTCATCACAGTCACTCATACATCAATTGAAGTTTTGCATGATTTAATAAAATGCGAGGGATGAAAATTAAATGAAAAATATTGGATAATATTTTTTTGATTTGAATAGTGAACTTGATTCAGAATTAATGATTATTTTATAATAAATTGGGGGAGTACGCCCCCTGCTCGTTCCGCTCGCTCGCCACCATATGACCCCCACGATGCTTATTCTGACCCTCGTGACCCTCATTATACCCCTCATGACCCCTTATTTCGATCCTTCCTTTCTGACCCTTAATTTTAGAGTTTTAATTTCGAGCATCAGGAGTTGATTTTGATTTTTACAATATAGGGAGATATTCAGACCCTTATTTTGACCCTTGTGGCTCTTAGTTTTTGACCCCCATAACCCTTATTTGGGCCCTTAATCTGACCTTTGTGACTCTTAATTTTGCGACCCTCAATCTCACCCTCGTTACCCTTAATTTCGGAGTCTTAATGTCGAGTACCAAATTTTTATCACCAGAAGTCGATTTGGATTTTCATAATATGGAGAAATAATAAACAATTTCATTACCAATAATTTAATTAATAGAAAATTCTCCCCCTCAGGTAACACTATTCGTTGGTGGTGTATTCTTCAAGAACAACGACACCCCCATAGTCCGTGCATCCGGTCGTGAATTATCCTACATTCTCCTGACCGGAATTCTCCTCTGTTACTTGGTCACATTCACCCTAGTGTTAAAACCAACCGACATTGTATGCGGTATCCAGAGGTGAGTTTTAAAACAAAATCTCGATGCAAAATTTGTGAATTTCCAACTGTTTAACTCCCACAACAGTTGTTGCCATTTACAAAATAATTATATTTTGTTTCAAAATTTCCACACTTTGCCCTGAACTTTATAAACCCATTTCACCACATTTGGCTTTAATGCATTCAATGGGACACCCGGGTAAATGTGATAGACCAAGTTCACCCGTTACTTCGGAAAGTACGTTTGCATCTGCATTCCACGGGAAATGCGAGTGAGAATGTGGTGAAAAACGTTAACAAACATGTCTGACGAGAATTTACATACGGTACACGAACAGACCAACTGGGAAATTTACTTAATCTCGTAGGAGGAATATTCAGCCTCTACTGTACTATCATTTTTTCAAATTATTCCCTTGTTATGTGCGAGTGCAGACGACTGTGGTTTTAATGAAAGCTCGTTGATCTGGTGAAATATGGAGGGAATATTGTAATTTTTTTTGAAAATATGCAAATCATTTCTGCATGAGTTTTTGTGGTTAATTTCCATTCGTTGGCAATTTATTGCGGTTTGAATAAAATAGAATTGAAGAATTTTTCAACCGATATTGAATAGCGGACATACATGAATTTAAAAAAATTGTTCATCTCATGTAGCGGCCTTAAGGAGAGACTACTATGAGTTTTTAAAGTCACGGACTACTAGAGTGTGATTATCCATACATTGAAGGTTTTCATACATTGAATTATATATGTCTGAAAACTAATTAGTGCGAAAAAATTAATTGTTTATTGTTCGCTTGCCCCGTAGGCGCTTAAAATGTTCAAAATCACTCAATAAACTAATAATTAATTGAAGTGTTGAAAATTCAATTGATTGAAGTGTTAAAAATCGTCCAGGGCCTCCAATTTTTGAACTACAGAAGTTTTTTTTCAAAATTTTTGAAAAAGTGTGGACAATAACAATTACGAACTAGTTTTTTGAAATTCGACTCCTACACAACTAATTTCGCTTTCTTTAATATAAAAAATTACATGATTCATGTAAAATATCCAGAAAAATGTTTCTCAAAGAATCGAGAATATATTTTCAATATTTTGAAGATAATTTTTTTGGCTATTTTACATCAGTAGTGCAATTTTTTAATGCAATGCATAATAAAAGCGAATATTAACTACTTTTTAATGAAGAAATGAATACGTAATGATAACAAATAATGTGCATAAATCACGAGCCAATCATGCCTCACACATGAAACAGTAGATTTCAAAAACGTCTGATTTGCAGTCAATTATTAAAAAATATCTCGGCAATATTTCTCCATAATTCTCTTTGTTCAGCTGTCTATGAATTGCGTACAATGAGTGAATAAGAAATTAGTAAAAAAACTTAAAGACTTGTCACAAAGTATGAATTACTAGTTTTCATTTTGAACGAAATTCGTTGGAATTCGCTTCAAATTATGCTTTGAGAATAATTAACTAAAAAATAAGGATAAATTTCACTCAAACCCCGCAAAAAAATAATTAAGAAAACTGCCCTAAAAATTTGAACAAAAAAGCTGAAAAAGCCGCGTTATGATAAAGTTTAATGAATTCCCATCATCTCCTTTAGTTCATCTCCACTTCCTTTGACCCACGCCTTCGAAATTTCAATATCATCAGAGAATAAAAGACCAGAAGCTCATCACAGGCAGTCCAGCGTCTTAATAAACTCCCCGTCCTCTATGTTACCTAAACAAATTACCCCAAGGATTACCTCCTCTCGTCTTTCAGATTCGCTGCGGGGTTCTGTTTCACAGTGGTGTACGCAGCCCTTCTCACCAAAACTAATAGAATAGCTCGTATATTCAAAGCTAGTAAGAAGAGCGCCAAGAGGCCGTCGTTCATATCACCGAGATCTCAACTCATCATCTGCTCGATGCTTGTTGGGGTTCAGATTCTTATCAATGCTGTGTGGATGGTCATTGACCCAGCTAAAGCGAGGCATCATTACCCCACACGAGAAGACAATCTTCTCGTCTGCAATAGCTATATCGATGCCAGCTACATGATAGCCTTCACCTATCCGATCATATTGATCGTCGTCTGCACGGTCTACGCGGTGTTGACGAGAAAAATACCCGAGGATTTTAATGAGAGTAAACATATCGGTATGAAAAACAAAGCATTTGTTCTAAAAAAATGTGCTGGTGCCTGTACCTTTGTTACAACCGTCATTTTACGTGCGCGGAGAAAAACTTTGACGAAAAATTACCAAATCTTGATTGTTTGAGTCAACAAAATCGTTAGTTGAAAATTACTAAAACCCTTTCTCAATCGTGTAACGCAACTGTTGTATGCCCCCCATATTAATTAACAAATATATAATAGAAATCGTTCATAATTTCCTAACGTCTGACTATGTCGTATCATTTCTACTGAATTTTTATATCTCGCAGACGAAAATTGTCTCCTTTTTTTTGAAGATGAATAATTTGAAAATGATTATTCGAACTCAATTATTCATCAATCTCCCGTCCTGTTATAGCGATTTTTTTTGGTTCTTTATAAAACTAAATTACAAAAATGAAAATGAAAATAAGGAAAAGAAGGCAAATGATTAGGAGAACAATGAAATCATCAAGCGCTGCTCTTTCAACATTTCGTATTTTGTTGAATTGCTGCCATTCCACCAGCTCTAAATTCCTTTTTATAAACGTTTGAGATAGTTTGAAGCATTGGTGAAACTTCTGTTCATTCCGTGAGAAAAGTGTACGAGGAAAACTGCATTCGCGATTTTCTCCATTAAAATGGCAAAATAATATGATGTTACATCACAACGAAAGCAACTCCTTCCCCCCAATCGTGTAGCGCAATATTTGAATGCCCTCCATATTAATTAACAAATATATAATAGAAATCGTTCATAATTTCCTAACGTCTGACTATGTCGTATCATTTCTACTGAATTTTTATATCTCGCAGACGAAAATTGTCTCCTATTTTTTCGAAGATGGATAATTTGAAAATGATTATCCCGGCTCAATTATTCATCAAGACTGAAACAAAAAGTAATAAACGACATTATTAATGAAATTGTGTAATTCGTGTCATTCAAGGTTTCACAATGTACACAACATGTGTAATTTGGCTGGCATTTGTGCCACTTTACTTCGGCACTGGTAATCATGTTGCCCTGAGAATCACCTCAATGTCTGTAACAATCAGCCTCTCAGCATCAGTGACTATAGCATGCCTATTCAGTCCTAAGGTACAGTTTGTGGATCAAGATAATCCTTGTATTAGTTTCCTGTTCACAATGGATACATTAATCACAATCCGTATGGTTTCCTTGTATTTTGGCAGTTGTACATAATCCTCATTCATCCTGAGAGGAATATTCGGCGTGGCATGGGACCTTTCAGGGGCACAACACCGAAACCTACTAATTCCACTGGCCGGAATAATACATCTATGATGGCAACTGTTACACTCACTGCTGTTACGTGTGATCAGAATAAGGCGGTTAATAAACTCGTTGTTACCACGAATGATTGTTCTACACAGAGTGAACGTGAGTTGAATGTCTCAATCATTTTATAATCCATTTTTTGACACGAGAACGATCGCGCGCTTGAGCGCGCATGTTAAAGACAAATCGTGACACGAAAACCGAAAGCCGATCAAAGTCGAACACGTGCGGGCGGATCCGAATGTTCGACCAATGAAATTCGAGGAATGAGCGTTACGCTACAGCTTACGGCGTATGTTCTTTTCAGAATAGGATACTTTTGAGAGTTCTGAATAGTCCGTCGCTTAAATAGTTGAAATCAACGTTCACCCGGCTAAAAAATTCGATTTTAGCGAAAGTCGACTTTCCCCCTGGAAAAACGGAAAATCTGACCCTTTGAAAATCTGAAAAAAAGAACTTTTTCAGTTTTCACTTTTTCCATATACTTTTGAGAGTTCTGAATAGTCCGTCGCTTAAATAGTTCGAATCAACGTTCACCCGGCTAGAAAATTCGATTTTGGCAAAAGTCGACTTTCCCCCTGGAAAAATCCAAGATCTGACACTTTGGCCCCCGGTGAAAAAAAAATTTTTTTAGTTTTTACTTTTCCCACATACTTTTGAGAGTTCTGAATAGCCCGTCGTTTAAATAGTTGGAATCAACGTTCACCCGGCTAAAAAATTCGATTTTGGCGAAAGTCGACTTTCCCCCTGGAAAAACGGAAAATCTAACCCTTTGAAAATCTGAAAAAAAAAACTTCTTCAGTTTTCACTTTTTCCACATACTTTTGAGAGTTTTGAATAACCCGTCGCTTAAATAGTTGGAATCAACCTTCACCCGGGTAAAAAATTCGATTTTGGCGAATGTCGACTTTCCCCCTGTTTACATAAATAATAAAAAAAATCTAGTTTCCATAAATAATAAAACTTTCTTCAATTCACTATTATTCCACCTCAATGTTGATCTACATATAAACCATCGAAAAATGTATTTATGATAATTTTCATTCTTCCCATTCTAGAATTCGAAATGGAGGCAATGGAGAGAAAGAATGGCAAGCCCTCACCGACATTAGTGAGCCGCTCGACTCAGACCCTCTTAAATAACAACGGCAAGGAAATAGACATAGTTATGTCGCCAGTTATCAAAGGTCTGAATATCGATGAGGCCCTCGATTCAGTAAAATCGATGAACAATACCAAGATTGGTAACGGCCCATTCAATAAAAATGAATTACCAGTATAGCAGAATAATAAGAGAGTCCAGACGCTGGTTTTACAAGCTGATCTGAAGCCTATTTCCAAGCGGCCGGTAATTGTATAAAAATATCTCCTTATTTCCATTATTCACGCAATTTTCTATTGTTGGAGTCATGATATATCAAAAAATGGACCATAATACTCAAACGAAATAATCACAAGATATTTTTTCAATTGAAATTCAAATGGAAAAATTGCGTATTTTTTTTCTATGAAAAATTATCAATTACAAATGATCTTCCTTTTCCAATAACACTAGATCTTGAATTGAAATTATTCCTCAGGCCTAATGAGAGGATAGGAACAATGAATTTACAGATAGAGGACGATTTTTTTTTTGCGAAAGTTGAAGAAATTTCAAGTGTTCCATATGCAAATACGAATAAACCGAGATAAAAAATGAATCAACGGTTCATTCTGCACTGTGATGATAAAATTACGTAATGTATTAATAGTCAAATGAGTTAAAACGTAAGATAAATTTACCTAATTAATGATAAATGAAGAATAGCTATTTAAATTAAGAGGAAATAAAAAATTTTCTACTGTCTCTTCATCACTGTGAGCGTTTGGACTCATGGAAAATTGCTGTTAAAATACTTATAAATATGTAAATTGAGTATTACGGGGTTTAGGAGATATTTATGCATTGATCAATTCATATTGAGTCGATGAGATAAGAGATTATGCCAAATTTTGTTAGGAAAAAATCGTGTTGTCGTATTGTACAGAACGATGAACTCGTAATTGATCTGTAAATAGCAGTTATAGATAGGGAAATCAATTGTAAATATTTCAACGATTAATAGAGGAATAATTGTATCGATTATTAATTAAGACGTCGTATTATCTGTACATAAAATTTATCTGTTAAGAACAAAAATAGGTGAGAGAATGTGCAAATGGGTTAAATGTAAGGTGTAAATTTATGTCCAGTCATCAACGAATTATTGAATTATAAATTCAAATTGAATGTACAATTTAAAAAAAAAAATCTACAGACTATTGGAATTGAATTCAGTGTACGTAGAGAATTTTATTTAGGTTTATCAATGCGTCCGATGTATCTTTATCCGAATTATCACAACATCGTCCAACGCAGATTTTGTAATTATGGAGGGAGCAATGTGTCTTGTAATGTCTCGTGTATGAAATTCAAGGAATTATATTTCTGGTTGAATGTTGCTCAATTGTGATGGTTAGACTCAATACTTTGATGATTTTTTTTTTTGGAATTCTTGTTTTAGGGAGAGGGAATAGTTTTTTTAGTAGAGAAGTGATGAAAGGAGATGGGTCGAACATTTTCGGAGAATTTTACAAGTATCTCAGGAGAGAAGTTTTGGGAACTTTGTCAGGGGATATTTTCATGGGAAATTTCATGAGTGAAAATGAGTTATTCAATTTTTTTTCGTTCAAACCAGTCATTATCAAAATGCTTCCATAATTTATAACTTTATTTCACTGAAATTTGTTCCTGAACCCGAAAGGTGATGAGATGTTTCTGAAACAATCTGAATAATCACTTGCAGACTTGTCTTTTATTCATCACTAGAGATTTTAATTTCCATTCGAGGGAAAATTCATAGCTAAACGAAACATCCTGAGCCCTTTGTTCTCGATTAGCCATGAATTTGATGCAAGTTTAGTGGTTAATTATTCTTTGTAATTATTATTTTAAGGAGAGGAAATAGTGTTTATTGAGTAGAGAAGTGATGAAAGGAGACGAGTCGTATATTTTCGGAGAATTTTACAAATATCTCTGTAGGGAAGTTTTGGGAAATTTGTGACTGAATATTTTCATGGGAAATTTCATGAGTGAAGAAAAGTTATTCTATTTTTTCGTTCAAGCCAGTCATTACCGAAATGACTCAATAATGAATAACTATGAATTATTTCAATTCGAATATGAGAAGAGGAATCTTGTTAATTTTTTGATTATTTCGCGAACGAGTGGATTAAAAAGAAATGTTGATGCATTTTTTTTGCATCTTGGGAAATCCCCTATAAAAATGTTTCACCGATTTGTTTTCTGAATCATAAAGGTACTGAGATATTTCTGAAACAATTTGAAAAATCACTTGCAGACTTGTCTTTCATTCATCACTAGAGATTTTCATTTCCATTCGAGGGAAAATTCATAGCTAAACGAAACATTCTGAGCCCCTTGTTCTCGATTAGCCATGAATTCGATGAAAACCTCGAAGACCAGGAGGGAAAAAATATTTTGATTTCTGTGATGTAAAACTATCGCAATCTAGTCATTACAACAATTAAAATCGCCTGAATTTGTCGAGATAATTATAAATATTAAGAATGTGCTACATGTAGTCTTAATTGAATTACCAAGAATAATGTAAATACGTTGATATCAGCTTTGTGAGCTTTGAAATGTGGAATAGGTTTAATTAAATACTTAAGTGGATCCTCATCCATTTTTTAATGAATAAAGATCGAGACATATTGAACTAATAAACATTAAACAATGGAGATTATAAATTGAAGGAATAAAAATAATTAAATACGTTGATTTGTGATGCTGAGCAATGTCGAGAAACTTGAATTAACAGAAAAAAAAATATGACGGTATTATTTTAAATACGTAAAGGATAAACGTTGGAGGTTTAAGATGAGTTTAAAGTGTATGAGGTGAATATGAAAGTTACGAAATAAATGCCCACGAGACTCTTACGTAAATAAAAAAAATATCATAAATTTTATTGATTATTTGAAAAATTTCATGTACAACAATTACTCCTTTTACCCAATTATTCTAAGATTTTTCAGGATTCAATGCATTCGATGTATCCAATTATCGGTGGCTATCACTTCATGCTACCATTTTGAGCATTCACAGTTCCTGAAAATCGCCAGTTCATTTGAAAATAAAATCAAGAGTATTTTTTTCTAATTTCTAAAACTGTTGAAGATTTTTTTGGTCATTGTGTGAATATCTCGAAAAGTGGTCTTGGAGAAAAAATATCTAGGGATTTTTTTTACAATTTTCTGAGCTGCAAAAAAGTTCTTCTGAGTTTTTATTCCCAACCCATTAGTTCCAAAGATATTTTCAACATAAAAAAAAAGATTAAAACGTATAAATTTCAGGAGTTTTCATGAGTTCAGGATAAAAGGTCACGAGATCTCTTTACGGATTGTGAAATTTACAATGAAAAAATGCTCATGTAGCTTCTAAAACCAAATTTCCGAGATATTGACGTGATTAGCAAGAGGTTTCCTACTTCAATATTAACAGCAATAAATCATTGAAACTGAGGCTCCAGGGTTTGAAGAGATGAATTTCCACGACTACAAATGATCAAATTAATCACTATATTTCCAGAAATGTTTTTTATTACGAAATACAAGTGTTCTGATGATTTTTATAGAGAATTACAGGCGATGACATTTTTTATGAAATTTCATGAAAAAAAAGTTGGTTCTCTTCTTTTTATGGTTTATATAACCTATTATATCAAAGTATCAACATATATTACATTCCTGGCCTCGAAAAACCACAACAAATGAGTGAAAACGAGAATTAGATTTCTTTCACCTCTACACACGAAAAAAACATTGAAAAGTAAAAAAAGCTCTTGGAGGATATCTGAAGAATTTTCAACGGAATTTTCAATTTTCACGAATAGAGACCAGGAGAGCGAGAAAGTTTTTCCTTTCTCCAAACTCCTTTCAACTTAGGACTTCCAGAACTTACCACTACCCCTCAGCCCTTTTCCCTTTTGCTGTTTTTTCTTGGAATCCGGGGGAATTGAGAGTGCCTCTCTGCTCGACTCACTGCCCCCAGCTGAGCTACCTCCAGCAATATCAGCTTCTTGAACTTGTGATAGAATTGACTTCCTCATCAGGGCAATCTATAAATAAATACAAGATTAGGTAATTCTTTGAAAACACAGAACGTTGGTTTAAAGGTGCTATATTTATTAATTCTGACATGGAGAAATATAGTAAAATAGCAATTATAGTATAATAATTAGGACAGCAATGGTAATTATCTCGAGAATGAATGATCGTAGAAGAAAATATCTAGAGATCATTTCTACAGACGAAAATTGAAAGTTAATTAAAAATTCAAGAATATATTTACTTGAAATGTCCGGATTTCTATCAATTTCCATGAAATGATTGAATTAAAATTCACAGTTTCCATTGATTTCATAGTATGATAATTAGGACAATGATAATTATCTTGAGAATAACTAATCGTAGTAGAAAATGTCTAGAGACCATTTCTACAGACAAAAAATTTTAATGTCATGGACAGTACACTAGTATTTTTCAGGAGAGTGATATGGAATTCGAATTAGGGCAAAAAATCCAAACTTTTGAGCAGCAGGGATAAAAGAATTCTCCAACTTATTTAAATTTTCAAACAAAACATGAATATTCGGCACGAAATTAAGCTGACCTTACAGTTCACTAAAAATTCAAGAATATATTTACTTGAAATTTCGAGGTTTCTACTAATTTCCATGAAATAATTGAACTAAAATTCACCATTTTCATTGATTTTATCCTACGATACTTAGGACAATGATAATTATCTCGAGAATAAGTAATCTTAGTTACAAAGTTTCCATTCGGAGGCAAAAAATTGACAAAATTTTCTTACACTCTGTTGGACTTTATCCTTATGCTGCGTGGCATTGTGTTTGGCAGTATTGGCTTCGATAACCTGCTTCTTGATACAAGCGAGAACAGCGTCACAAGTCTCTCCCCAAGCAGCCAGAGTGTCGACAACAGCTCCAGTCTCTCCAGGCCTGACGTCCCTCCCCAACCCTGCATAATCGACTTCGAGCTGAGAATTCTTCTGATCCAATTTTCCATGAATGATGTCTGCATAGACAGCCTCGATGATCAAGTCCTCCAGGTCCCTCACATTCTTGATGTCCAGCTCCTGCAGGAGGACTGAGTAGGGAATGCACTTGGATTTCTCAGCTAGCGTGACAATCGTCAGGTGCTGCAGCTTCTTCTTCTGCGTTGGAGTCAATTCTAGAAGTTTGTCTTTGTTGGCGAGGTATTCCTTGTACGTTCCGTAGGCGAAGAGGTTGAGAGTGTTCCAGTACTCGGCGTGGGGACCGTTCTCAAGCTCTTTTATGTTGGGCATGTCCAGGAGTTCCCCGAATACGTTGACTCCTGGGGTCTCCACAGCTTGTTTTATCAATTCTAGGGCCGCTGCCCCCTTGGCTGTCTTCGCTAGGAGAATGAATTGTTCTAGGGGATTGCTTGAGGATTTCTCAGCGGGGACTGACTCTGTGGCAGACCCAGTCATCTTGAATCTTCAATTTCAAACAGAGAGGGAAATATGAGAGGTGAAATCGACGTCAAGAGTCTCTACGACGGTGCAGTGGTCAAATTATAACACAGAGTGAACGAATTAAAAACTGCTGAAAGCCAGGGTCCAGCAAAAAATAAAATCCTGGCTAAAAACGAGGCTCGGTGGCAGGACGACTACTCCACGAATGCAGCACTTCGTGCTGCCATTGGAAATCGAAAGGACAAGGACAAGGAGAGGAGGACGGAACTTCCTCTATTGAAAAGTGTTGGAGTTGAATTGAATTCTCATGCGGAACAAGAAGAGGGCCCCCAGGAGGAGGAAGAGCTCCTCCCTCAAGCGATTAGTCTCGACTGTTTCGAAATCTAAAACTAAACGAAGAGGGATTCTAGACATTTCGAGTAAACCACAAATTATCGAGCAGAACAAAATATTGAATGACTCTGGGAACTCGAGTTCCTCGAGCAAAAATACTTCACTCGTGTCTTACGATTCCTCTAGTTCTGATGGTGATTAATTTTTTTTTTTGAGATGGTCTCGAGGGGTCAAAAATTGTCAAATCCCTTGAATCACCACAACTGCAGATAATTAGCTGGATTAACCAACTAGGAATAAATAATGTAAATATAAAATATCGCTCAGTTTTTTATTGACCCAGTACTCAATTTCCAATGCAATGGAATAATTTTTTCTTCGATGTAAAGTACAATTCTTCCTCTTCATGACAACCCTAAAATGAGCTCAATTGATGAATTTATTCCTGAGTTATGAACATTTAAAAAAAATCAAGTGTCCATGGTGCCCCACCCTCCCGTATTCCTCTGGCGAAAAAAAATTATGTGCAGAACCGATCGAATTTTATCTCTCGTGTGGACTTCTGGAAAACTTTTATGAAATTCTTCTGCTCTCAAACTCAACAAAAATAAATTCCAGAAATTCCGAGTAAACCAAAGATTGTCAAGCAGAAAAAATTGTTGAATAACGCTGGGAGCTCTAGGTCTGAAGGTGATTAACTATTCATGATCTCAAGCAATAAAAAAAGTAATTTTTGTGCTTTCTAATGTAAAAATTAATAAAAATGACTAACATTAGAGAAAATAAATCGGACGTGAAGTTGAGGTTATGAAGTGATCAATAAGTTTCCACCTCTTGTCCCTGAATTCTGAGACTAGAATTGTTCTAAAAGCAATATTCCATGCATTTTTTATTACGACTGAGTAGTAATTACCTCAGCAGACACCAGGCTTATCGAAACTGAATGATGTTTGAAGTTTGAAGACTGTTTATGTAGTGTCAAAGCAGTCAAAACACTCACTAATCACATTGAGGTTACGAAAAAATGAGAATAACCCCGCCATCTCTCAATGTGCCACTGCACTAGAAAATTCGATTGGTAAGACTTTCTCAGAGACATCTGCAATATCGAGCACTGTTTAACCACCTCATCAGAATCTTCCCATCCGCGAATGTGATCACTTTCCGTGCCCAATGCGTTGCGGTTGTTTTCTCCCTTCTACGCATGCGCGGAATCAGCACTTCACCCAATCACGAAGCAGCACTTTGAAGCGGTCTCGCGATCGTCGTTCGCAATCGCGTTACTTTCGATGGGGCGCAGAGGGGGAAAGCCTGCGTGATCCTGTTCAAAACAAAGTGCCGGCCGGTCGTATTGTTCAGTTGAACGGAATCAGTTCCTCCAGTGTTTTCTGAAGATATTAATGGTGCTTCATGCGTCTCTTCAATAGAGCTGCCCCGCGTGTGTCGGACTAAATTATCAGTGGTGAATAATAAACAGTGTTGTGAATATGGAGAAAATCGGCAATTCTCATGCGGTATCAGTGGATTCGGACGACGAGGAGAGGCCTTCCTGGCGAGGAATCAGGCACGAGGGCACTCAGTTTTCCGACGAAGACGAGGGGACGATGTAAGTAGTAAGAATGTACGGTCGCAGGAAATAGTCGTTACTTTTAATCCGTTATTTCCGAATCGCGAAAGTAATGAGTGTCGACATGGCAGAGTATTCGGTATTTTTTGTAAATTTCTATCTCAGCCGGCTGAAACCAAAGAATGTTCGAATGATGATGATTCACAATGGAAACTCCCAGTCAGGAGGTGACAGGAGATTCTCCAACTTTTATAAAATGTTTTTTTTTAAATAGAATAGAATAGAATAATAGAATACTTTATTTCCTTGATGCCACTATTTCAGTTTTACATCTGCACTACACTAACACTCCAATAAATTATGTTTTTTTATCATTAATGTTTTAGAAAATATTTTATTAAATGGGATGTTTAATTTTGATTTCATTATAGCCATTTGACTCCACCACTTTACCTCGTTTCAGTCTTCTCGTTATTGAACTCTTATTTTTCATTTCAGTTGACAAAAAACAAGTTACGAGTAACTTATAACAGGAGATAAAAGTAATGGATTGCACATCTCTAGTAAGTAGAGATGTGGAATGACCGTCAGTTTTATTTCGATCATTTTTAGGTCATTTTTCAAGGGTTCGATCGGAAAACTTTTTAATAGAATTAAGTTGTAATCGTTATTTCTTTTTCATGACGGTCAGTTGGTCACTCACGTCTCCAGATGTAAGTTCACTTTGATCAGGATTTTTTGGGAATTTTCGGGGAATTTTTAACTTCTCGACCCTAAGGAAGGAAGTTATTGTTCAATTTAGAATTGAATGACCAAGAAATAGGGGAATTGGCGAGGGGTTGTGTTGAGATAGATTATTAAAAGCTTTTCTTCGCGTTTTTTATTACAGAATTTCGAGAAGTGGTGACACACCAGTCACTGAGGTCGAGTGCGGCGCCGACGGAAGAAACCTTTCTGGTGAGTTTCAAAGTTTTTTGTCTCCATTCATTCAATCTTCGGTGTTATTTTTTGTGATGGATTTTAAGAGTGATTAATTTTTAGTTTTATTGGTTATTTTTGTGGAGTTGCGGAATATTTTTTTCTGTTTGTCACCGAAGAATCGCGGGAATTTTTCTTTTGGGGCATTTCACTGATGCATCACGTGTTTTTTTAACGTTTTAAACTTTTTTTTCTATTTTTTTTGTTTTATAATTAATTTTTGGCATCACAGCATCCTAAAATTCCTTTTCGTATGAATCATTCGGCTCAGAGATTTTCAAACAATCTCCATAGCTTGGTGAACAGGGGAAATCTCTGTTTTTGCCGTGAGCAAGAGAGAAAAAAACACCCCACGCGAGGATCGGAGGATTAACCGTCTCGTTATTTTCTTTCGATATTTAAACGTCGTTTTACCGAGAATTTTCCCCCAATATTTAGCGTTCCCCGAGCGAAAGACATTCGATCTTGATCAAAACAAAAGATAAATCTGCAGTTTATAAAGAATTGTTACAAAATATTCCATAATTTTCATGAAAATTTTCATATTTGTTCATTGACCATTCGTTTCGTTCATGAATTTCCGTTTCAATAATTAATTATTATTAAAAATGGTTATTATTTTAATGAGAAAATTCCGAGGCTTCAAACTGTACAGAATACGGTTTATCAAAAATTGTTGGAAAGTTTTCAGTAATTTTCCTTAAAAATTTCATGTTTGTTCTTTGGCCGTTCGTTTCATTCATGAATTTCTCCCCTTTCTCCGCCGAAAACCAAATTTTCCCCAATACTACAAAAACTAAAACACATGGTTACAGGTACTCAAGTATTTCCAGTTTTCCCTCATTTTACTGTATTTTATTGCTTTCTCCATTGTGCACTAGAATCCGTTCGTGGGGGATTTTTATTGCCCCCAAAACAAGAGTGACCCTTTGTCCCTCACTCGTGCTAGTCGTGGCGTAGAGACCCCCAGGGATTTCCAAAATTTCTTCTCGCTCAATTTCTTATTAATTCAAATTAATTCAGTTCTAGTGATTTCTGTAAATTTAAGCTGAGCAATTATTAACAATTATTTAATTAATTAATAACATTAATTTATCATTAACAATTGTTGTTCCATCATTTTAGAGGATTTTAATTCCGAGGCTTTCAAATGTACAAAATAAAATTTATTAGAAAGTGTTATAAAACATTCTCTTTCGGATTATTTTCATCAAAAATTTTATGTTCGTTCTTTGACTATTCGTTTCATTCATGAATTTTTCCCCCTTTTCCCCCGAAACCCAAAATATTTCCCAGCAGCGTAAAATTAAAACATATGGTTACCACGTATTCAAGTATTTCCAGTGTTCCTGCATTTTACTGTCTTTTATTGCCCTCTGCATTGTGCACCCAAATCCGTACGTGCGCGACTTTTATTGCCCCAAAACAAGAGTGACCTTTTGTCCCTTACTCATGCTAGTCCTGGCGTACAGACCTCTCCCCCCGGAGTCTCTTGAACTATTCACTCTCTCAAACAGTCTTCTGTTTTGAAAGTACGAAACGAAAATGAAAATGAAGACAGTTCTTTTAATTTCTACAGATTTAAATCGCATCGATTTTTAACAATTATTCAATTAATTAACAATTATTTATCATACACAATTGTTTTATTATTTCAATGAGAGAATTCCTAGGCTTTTAAATGTCTTGTCCTATTATTTTGTTTCTTGAAAAAGAATTCGCAATCAAAAGGGAATGCACGGAGGAGTCCCTCGACATCGACGATTACGTTTACAAACAAATAACTTTTGTCGAGTTGTCGGACGACAATTATTCCCTGAATAGTCCCCAACAGCCCCAGCAACAGTTGAAAACTGAAATACTGAGTTACCCTGACAACTCCACTCCCAAAACAGTCTCCTCCTTTGAAAGTACCAAATGAAAATGAAAATACAAAATATCTCCTCTCCTTCAATTTATTATCGATTCAAATTAAGTCAGTTCTATTAATTTCTACAGATTTAAATCACAACGATCATTAACAATTATTCACCTAATTAACAACAATTATTTATCATGAACAATTGTTTTATTATTTCAATGAGAGAATTCCTAGGCTTTTAAATGTCTTGTCCTATTATTTTGTTTCTTGAAAAAGAATTCGCAATCAAAAGGGAATGCACGGAGGAGTCCCTCGACATCGACGATTACGTTTACAAACAAATAACTTTTGTCGAGTTGTCGGACGACAATTATTCCCTGAATAGTCCCCAACAGCCCCAGCAACAGTTGAAAACTGAAATACTGAGTTACCCTGACAACTCCACTCCCAAAACAGTCTCCTCCTTTGAAAGTACCAAATGAAAATGAAAATACAAAATATCTCCTCTCCTTCAATTTATTATCGATTCAAATTAAGTCAGTTCTATTAATTTCTACAGATTTAAATCACAACGATCATTAACAATTATTCACCTAATTAACAACAATTATTTATCATGAACAATTGTTTTATTATTTCAATGAGAGAATTCCTAGGCTTTTAAATGTCTTGTCCTATTATTTTGTTTCTTGAAAAAGAATTCGCAATCAAAAGGGAATGCACGGAGGAGTCCCTCGACATCGACGATTACGTTTACACACAAATAATCTTTGTCGAATTGTCGGACGACGAAGAGGACCGTCACTCCCTGAATAGTCCCCAACAGCCCCAGCAACAGTTGAAAACTGAAATACTGAGTTACCCCGAGGACTCCACCCCAGAAAAAAGCAAACAAATGGTTCGTTCGCCAGAGATCTGCAGAGTGGAGACACTCGACGAGTTCGAGGCTGAATTGTCGATCCCTAGAGTCCCCGCGGCTCCAATCACACACGAGCTCCGTGAGAGAAAGCGTAAACCGATGGATCACGTGTGGAAGAACCCTCGAGTCCAGGAAGACATGGACTTGGATTCGATGAAGTCCTTTTGCGAGGACAGGTCATTCTACGCTGAGAACACAGACTGCAGCATTAGTTTCAAGTCTCTCAACAGCTCGGAATCTCTTCAGGATCTCGAGGACTTCAGGATTACAGACGAGAACAGAAGTTTAATTCACAGGAGAGAAAAGAATCGAGAAAGTTCGCCGGAGGGCGAAAGCTCTTCGGGAAACGAGAGGGAGGGATTCGTTGAGGAGGACAATTTCAACGAAAAACTGGATGAGAAAGGAAATCTCAACGAAATTCTGTCAATGTTCGACTCTACCAGCTTTTTTAATCGAGATAATTGTAAAGTTTCTGAGGTTGACGAGGTTTTTAATGCAAATAGCGACGAAGGGAGAGGGCATCAAGAGGGGAATGAACACATTCCAAAAATTCCTGAAGACATTTGTAAAAATCAAAACGATGAAGATAAATCTGACAAAAATTTGACTGACGAAATTGAGTCTCAAAGAAAAGAGGACGATAATGTGATCGAAAATTCTGAAGTGATAGATTCAGAAGGAGAAATTGGACCAGAGGAAATGTCAGGGGTTTTTGAACAAATTGAGCACCGAGAGAAGATGAGTTTCTCGGAAATTCTCGAAGGAATAAATCCTTCAGGTGCTGTTGAGGATCGCGCCCCACGAGATAGAAGCAGCGAATCTATTTATGACGCTGAAGATCCCTTCATGGACATAGCCACCGAGTCCCAACTCCTCGACTTCGATAAGAAGCTCTCGGAGGCAGAGGTAAACGACGAATCAATTTCCATAGACTTCGATTATTCCGATCAGGACCTGGAGGAAATCGATACCGATGAGGAGCCGGAACCGATGGAGACCTCGAGCAGGAGCAGTTCCTTCGGCGATCAACTGACACCACTCGAGAATCTCCAAGAGAGTATTCGAAATATTTCTGGAAATATCTCGAAAGACGATGGTAAAATCATTGAGGATGACGGGGTTGAATCTCTGGAGGGAAATAATTGCAGGCGAGAGGATTTCACCGAGAGAATGGAAATATCGAGTGAAGAAATGTCAGGAGAGGTGACTAAAAATGGTAAAAATCATGAGACCATGGAGGACATCAGCTACAATGAGAAAGTTCCTGGTGACACAGTCTCTAGAGATGCAGACGACACTGAAGAAGATGAGGATTTAGGCGAGGGAATTGAAGAACCTGGAGAGGACTCAAAAGAATCTTCTCGAGAACAAAATCCAGAAGAAGAGGGCAGTGAGTCGGATGAGACCCTCTCTCTGTCGACCACTAGCGACGAATGTCCTGATGATACTCTAGAGCTCGATGACATGATTGAGGACCTGGAGAAGACAAGTCCACTCGCTGAATCCACGGGGTTGAACATCTTCGTTGGGGTTAACCAGGGACAGAAGAAGAAATCGGAAGGATGTGAGGATGACGTTGCTGTTGAAAGAGCAGCCAAGGTACTGAAGTCTGAAGAGACTGTGGGGAATAATATTCTTGTCACGAATATTCACGCAGTCGAGAGTGTGAAAGTTACTGCAGAAGGTAAAACATTTTTTTTTTTCATTTTGATCTTCTACTGATTCAGTTACTTCATTGGTACTTTACACCTAGAGGAGAGTGGACCAAAATAAAACAGTCAAAAAAACGACTGTTGACGCAATTCAACCAAAAAAAAATTTTTTTTATCCATTTTTTTTGTCATTTTTTTTTATTCTTAGGAGTACTAATTAGAATAATAATTTTGCATTCAGCAGAATGAAAATTATTGAGGAGTTTTGATGGGCGAAGATTTTGTCAATGGATTACTCGATTGAAATTCACCATCACATTCTCCTTTTCCCCCTCTGGGACTCCCCCTGGACCTCTCTCTGGATTTTGAATTTTGCTGTTTCATTTTCTTTGCAATTGATCCATGGACAAAATCTTTCCGTCAATACTTCTCAATAATTTTTTATTTGACTGAATGGAAAATTATTGCTCTCATCAGTCCTCCCAAGAATTGAAAAAAAAAATTAATAAAAAAATTTTGTTTTCCTTGAATTGCGTAAAACAGTCGTTTTTTTACTGTTTCATTTTGCCCTACTCTCTCCTATCAAGAAATTATTATTTTTTTCAGAAGGATTCCCCAGGGTTCAAAGTTTGATGGGTGTTGACAGGAGTAACATTCCAGTCAAATTTTCCCCCATGACGCGTCAGGATCTATCCCTCTGTGATAAAGAGGTCGAACCCATGGATATATCTGGTTGCAGAGCAGACACTCTGCAGCTTGGGATGGTAGTCAAGGTCAAGGAGTCCGAGACCTCGTCAGGAGTGTCTTCAGGCTCTCCATCAAATTCCCCACCGATTCCCTCGGATCATGCAGGGAGCAGCCCCTGCAGCCGAAGACCAGAGGCCCCAGCGAGAACATACAACATGATTGAGTCTTCATCAGACCCTGAAGAGTCCCCCACGAGACCCCCAGACCCCCCAGAAACTCCAGGAGATTCTCCAACGAGCCACGACCACAACTATACGAACCAAATATCAAGGAAGAGATTTCGAATGAATTTGTTCCCGAGGAAATCAGACTCCCCTCCCAGGAAAAAGACCCCTCAAAGCTCTTCGAAAGTCCTGAGGCTCAGGAACCCTCCGAAAATGAAGTTTGATGACGTCTTCAAGAACATTCCCCTCTCTCAGAAGAGACAGAAGTCGTCGTTAAGAAACTACAACTCCAGTGATGACGAGAATGATCCCCACGTCGAGAGGAAGTCTGAGAAAAAACTACCCTCAAGCCAGAAAAAAAAGAGGAAACTGTTTCATCTCAGTGCTTCCATCGAGGATCTGTCAGAGTTCCTGGAGGAATCGAACGAGAAACCCGTGGTGAAGTCGCCAGAGAAGTTTTTGAAGTCCTTGAAAGGACTCAGGAAGCCTCTAAGTCCAGTGAAAACCCCAGAGAGCAAGGAGAAACCTGAAGTGACCCCCAGGATCACCAACTCTGTACCTCAACCATCCCCACAAGTCTATAAGAGCAAGATCTCTCCTGTGACGGGTTCAGAGCTAGTTTTCTTAACCGAACGCCTCGTTTCCTCGAGACACACATCCTCAAGTGATTTGAATACTTCGCCTAGAACTTCAGACACCTCAGTCACCGCTCAGAATGACGCAACAGACTCTGAGAAAATAGAGAGTCAGGAGGAGTCTTCAAAGTCTGAGGATTCAGATTCAGAAAGAAACTCGTCAGGAACTGCAGAGGATTCTCCTCAGGAGAGCGAGGAGTTCATAAATTTGGACTCTGATATTTCCCCAGGGAAATCTCCAGAAACTCCTGAGGATGAGAACGAAGACATGGAAATTCCTGGGACTCAAGTGTCTCATTGCTTGCCAAATAATTTTGGAGAAGCTTCTGAGGACAAATCTCTTCAGAAGAGTGGAGATTTCATAGGGTTGGAGGGTCTCGATTCCAACCTTTCTCCAGGCAAAACTCCAAAAACTCCTGGGGACGAGGATAAGAAGATGGAAATTCTTGAGGACAAATCGTTTCAGATCAGTGAAGATTTTCCAGGGTTGAAGGGTCTGAATTCCAAAATTTCTCCAGCAAAAACTCCAGAAACTCCTGGGGATGAAGATAAAGAGATAGAAATTCCTGAGACTCAGGTCCCTCATTGGACTTCAAAAACTCCTGGAGAAGCTTCTGAGAAGAAATCTCCTCAGAAGACTGAAGATATCACAGGATTGAAGGGTCTGGGTTCCAAAATTTTCCCAACTAAATATCCGGAAGGCCCTGAAAATGAGGAAGAACCACTGGAGCTTCCAATGACTCAAGTCTCTCACTGGACCCCAAATGCTCCTGCTGACGCTTCACCAGTTGATTCCAACCTAGACCGATCCCAGGGACTCCAATCCAATCCGAAGACTCTTGAGCCGTCAGTGATCAACCCAACAGCCTCAGTAGTTCAAAGCCTCCCAACTGCTTGTCAACCCACAGAGACAACTCCACCTCTGGGTCTAGAAGAGAATGAATCGATGGAGACAGCTTCTCCTCTTCCAGTGACTCCAGAATTAGGGTCTCCAGATGTTATTACCCAACCAGAACCCTGTGAAAATAAAAAGACATCAGAGGAACCAGTTCAGGAACCAGAAATTCCCCAACAATTTTCTTCAACTTCTGATCTAGAGGCCAAGCCACTTTCATCTCCCGTTCCGTCGCCTCCAAAGCTTCCAGAAAACGAGAGGCCCTTCAAACTCCTTCCAGAGGCAAACGAGAGGATAGCTCCACCCCCTCCACCCCCTATTGGAGACGAACATTCAGATACAGAAGCTCCAGTCAAGATCTCGAATTCCTCTCGTCAGCCTCTCACAAGTGATGAAGATACTTCAGGGCTCACTCACATCTCCCAACTTCGTAAATCTTCTCCAGTGATGTCAAGGGCTCTTCCGGAGGCATCATCGCGTCCAGGTCCTTCCTGGGCTCAGCCCGAGCCTCCTGACGAGGACTCATGGCATGCTTTCTCCAGTTGTCAAACCCCCAAATTCAAAATTCGATCTGATTTTATTCGTGACCAGAACGACGGAGATTCCGATGGCTGTGAATCCTCCCTGGAGACGTGCTCCAATCCTCCCCCTTCGCACATATCAGATGATTCGGATTATCAGAGTCTGGACGATGGACGTTCGAAGCACTCGTTCCCCAGTAAATTCGTGAAACCTAAGAAGAAGAATGTTAAGAGCAAGATTCAAGTCTCAGAACGCTTTCAAGCCCAAGATGAGAGTTACCTCAGGGCCTGCCTCCCGGAGTCCAGGAACGACCAGCCAGCTGGAGGGGAAATGCAACTGGAGGGAGAGGCCACTAGAAGAACAATCAAGAAGTTGCACAAGGAGATTAACTCGAAACCAGGGCCTGGGGTGAGGATGGAGGCACCTAAGGGGATGCTGGTGTCCCTGATGGATCATCAGAAGGAGGCTCTACCCTGGATGCTGTGGAGGGAGACCTGTAAACCTGCTGGGGGGATCCTTGCGGATGATATGGGACTGGGGAAGACTATTCTCACTATTGCTCTCGTTATGGAGTCACTGAATCGAGATCCTCCGGTTAGAGGGGCTTCTAGCAGGCATGGACCTCTTGGGGGAACACTCGTCGTGTGTCCAGCAGGTTTGGTTACTCAGTGGTATGTAATGTTTTGCACTTTTTTTTAAAGGATATACAAGTACTTTGGCTATTTTTTCTCCAGTGAAATGCTTTTTTATTTTTGTAGTCGAACATCAGAGCTTTCATTTGATCCTAAGTTGCCGGACATTTTATATTGATTTTATTATTTAAACTTTGTTGTCCTTAGAATTTAGAAAAAATTTTAAAAATCGGAAAAAATTAGACAGTTCACTTTGGGATGAAATTCATGAAATGATAAAACCAATTGCCATAAAAATCATTCGTTGGGAATCGTAACAAATTTATTCATAGTCAGAATTTTACCAAAAATCGATTTCATGCCTAAAAAAAGGATTTCCAAAAGTTTAAACAATTTCAATTCTTTATTTATAAACAACGAATGTTTAGAACATAATAATTCTGGGCAAAATGTTATTTTAATGGCGCTGAAATAATTGTTTGTAAAAATAATTGACATAATAATAAATAAGTAATCGAATGAAATACGTTGAGAAAAATAAAACGTGGCAAGATTCTGAAAATTCAAGTTTAAAATTTTTTTTTTTGAAAATTCGGTATTTCTTATCGATGATAAAAAATGGAAAATTTTGATGCGTCATAAATAAAAATCTGCTGAACATAACTCAGTTATTTAAAAAAATCGAAAAAATAAAGAAAAAATCATATTTCCGAAATGAGCTGTCGAAAAAATTTGAAAAAAATTGAGAAATCTTTTTTCTAGCCCCCCCCCCTCTCTCCTCTCTCCACCCAATCATAGAAAAAAATTAAATCAATTTCCAGAAAAGTCATTTACTGTTTAAATCGAAAGGAACAAATTAGGCGAGTAATTCCCCACAATCTCCCCCAGGTACAACGAATTCGACTCTAAAAGTGACGTCGGTCATACGCGAACATACCACAAAGACAAAGAGACCAATCCCAAAATCCTCGCAGGATCGAACGTCGTAATAACGACCTACGACACCCTAAACCGAAACTACACGACCTCCCACCAAGTCCTCTTCAAGGTCCACTGGAGGCGAGTAGTCCTGGACGAGGCGCACATGATCAGAAACCCAAAATCTCTGAAATCAATTCGCATAGCTGAGTTGACCACCGACAAGCGTTGGTGCCTCACAGGCACCCCAGTCCACAACAAAGTCGGGGATCTCTACCCCATCATGAGATTCCTGAATCTGGAGCCATTCAACGATCAACAGATCTTCAACAGGTTGATCGACAGCAACGACAATCGAGGAACAAAGCGTCTCTTCTGTGTCATGCAGTGCGTGATGCTGAGGAGAATGAAGGAGGGGGTCTTTGCCTCAGGATCGATCCCCCAACTCCCCCTGAAGACCCTCAGAAGGATCGATATTGTCCTCGTCCAGGAGGAGAGACTGGTCTACGATAAAGTCATGACCCACTCCAAGACACTCTTCATTCAGTTCCTCCATCAGAGAGAGCAGAGGTCGAGGACTGGGGAGTTGGGGATGAGCTTCCAGCACGACTACAGAACGTACACATTGTCAAAGTCCCAAAGGAGGTTCCTGAACAGGAGAGGAATTATCGAGCACCACCACATCCTCACGTTGATCCTGAGACTGAGGCAGATCTGCTGTCATCCAGCATTGATCTGGAAAATGCTGGACAAGAGTGAATTCAAGGACGCTAAGCTGGAGGAGATGAAGAATCCTGCGCCCCTGCAGCAAGTCATCGAGCAGACTGATAATTTCATTCGGAATCAAGTGAGCCCAGAGGATGAGGAGGAGGACGATGGGGAGATCGGGGTGGACGAGAGGGTCGTTGAGGACGATCGTCTCCTGAGCTCTGGAAATCCTGTCTTCAGGGAGGAGAGGAAGTCCTCGAAGATGGTGGCAGTCCTGCAGAAGGTCCAGGAGATCGTGGACAATGGGGAGAAGGTGGTTATTGTCTCTGATTGGGTGCAGTATCTCACGCTCATTGGGAAGCATTTGGTGAACATGGGGTTTGCTGATGATTCGTTTAAATTTTATACTGGGAGTACTGACGATTCTGCGAGGGATGGGATTGTAGAGTGCTTCAACACGAAGCTGAAACCTAAGATTCTTCTGCTGTCGTTGAGGGCTGGGGGACAGGGGCTGAATCTGACTGGTGCTAATCATGTGATTATTGTGGATGTTCACTGGAATCCACAGTTGGAGGTCCAGGCGCAGGACAGGATTTACAGGATTGGGCAGACTAGGGATGTCTTTGTTCATAAGTTTATTTGTCAGGATACGATTGAGGAGAGGATTGTTGAGCTGCAGAGGAGGAAACTGCAGATTGCTGAGAATGTACTCTCGGGGACTCAGGGAGGGGCCTCGGGGCTGGGGATCGACGAGCTGAGGTCGTTGTTTAGTGTGTGAGGAAATATAAGTGAAGTAGAAAAGGGAATACGGCAGACTGCCTGGTTTAGGATGAGAGAGACCTGGTGATTATTTTTTTAAATTCCGTTTTTACCTAATTAAAGAGATAATTATTAAATATAATTATTTAGATAATTATTTAGTTTATAAAATTGGTTTGTAGTAGAAAACTTATGTGTTTATAAGGTTTTTTTCATTCTTACTAAAAAAAATGGGGAAAAAATGGGGAAATGGGGAACAATTAGATGAATTTTCAGTGAATCCAGAGTAAAAAGCACTTGCAAATATTCTTTTTCTTTTGTTAATTCGAGAGATAGATGAAACATTTGTTTTTTTGAAGGTAAAACTAATTTTCTTATCTATCTGGAGAGTTAAATGGAATTGGAATGATTTTGTAAGTAAATTTACACTGAACATTTCTCTAGATTGGTTTTCTTCAACAGTTCAAGAGATCAATACAATAATGTTTTCTTTCGTTTTTTACCTTTACTTGTGAACAGTGTAAAATATTTAATTATTTATTAGAGTAAGTGCTGAGTATTTGTTGCTGAGGTGATGTCAGATGACGTAAAATGTTGTATCTGTCTGTTAAAAAGTGAGAACTAGCGGTTGAGATGAAACACTACAACTACTGTTTATATTGAAAATTCTATTATAAAACAATATTAAAAAATATTACGGGAAATTAAAGATATGAGATAAGTTACAAAGCCTATGCCTGCTTGATGGTCGGGAAAAGGTGCCAGTGGGACCTGATTATTGTTAATTAAGGTAAAAATATATATATTACTGAATATGTTATACGTTAATCATAGATCTTAAGTTATTCAGTCTTTGTATTCTTGTTCTCATCGAGAAGATCAGAAACTTCTCAAAATATGATTGAAGATAAATATATATTAGTGGTGTGATAGCTGTGAGTTTTATTCAGAAAATTAAAATTATCAAAAATTTCCCTTTTGTTGATTTTCCTGGGAACATTACTATTATTTTTGAAGCAGTCTGAGCAAAATATTAACGAAGGGAATTGATGAATGGAGAAGGGAAATAGAGAAATATAAATTTTATCGCTGCGCCAGGGAATGAGCACTGTCTGCCAGGACGTTTATTTTTCTACTGAGCATGCGAGAAAAGTCTTGAATTCAAGCCGTCACAAACTCCATTCCATTATGAACTAGTACATAAACACATCCTTGACTTTATTCTTTTTTTATTTATTAAATCCATGATTTATAATCGTTATTAATAATTTTAGTCGAGCTTTTTATGCTGCGAATTCATTTTGCATTCTATTTTTTCCCTTGAGTTTTCACCGTTTCAGTTTTGTGAATAAAAATTACTATTACTAATGGCCAATATGTTTTCGTTGAATAGTAAATATCTTTGGATTTATCAATTGCAAAAATGAAAATTTTTCGGTCGTGAATTCAATGTTTCGTCGATTTAATTTAAATATTTTTTATCAACAATTTTATAGTTGACGAATATTTTGAAATCATCGACGAAAGAGATGAATGTTGGTAAGAGAGAAGATGATTTATAATTTTTTAACCAATTTTTTGCCTCACTAGCGCCACCCCGCCATATTGCCCCGTTTCCCTCCAGTTTTCGCTTGGAATGCCATTCGGTGGCTGTCCTCCGTGTCTCGCGGCTCGATGCTTCGGGAGATTTTCGAGATCATGGATTATTGTGAACACTTGAAGTCCCAGTGCTCGTCAACGTCGATTTTTTACTCGTGTCGGCCCAAAGGAAGTGAAAATCATGTGAAAATGTTTATTGTGGACGATTTGGGATTTTTCCACGGGTTTTCATTCGATTTCGTTCATCGCGTCATGCCGGCCGGCCGGCCGGTTTTCTCAATTCCCCCGTCAAGTGTTCCCATTATTCAATACAATTTTTCTTCATCATTTATTTTCAATAATTTTCAGTTATTTTTTCAATTTCATTTTGGTTTTATTTTATTATTAAAAAAAATTTTATGCAGTGATTGTTACGTGGAACCTGTGGAAATCAAATCATTTTTTTTTATTTTCTAACCATCGTTCGGATGTTACGAACGAGTAAAAAACCTCCGCCAATCACGGCCGCCGACAGTTCCCCCGTTTCCCTCCATTTTTCGCTTGGAATGCCATTCGGTGGCTGTCCTCCGTGTCTCGCGGCTCGACGCTTCGGGAGATTTTCGAGATTGTGAATTATTGTGAACACTTGAAGTCCCAGTGCTCGTCAACGTCGATTTTTTACTCGTGTCGACTCAAAAAAAGTGAAAATCATGTGAAAATGTTTATTGTGAACGATTTGGGATTTTTCCACGGGTTTTCATTCGATTTCGTTCACCGCGTCATGTCGGCCGGCCGGTTTTCTCAATTCCCCCGTCCCAAGTGTTTCTATTATTCAACACATTTTTCTTCGTCATCATTTTCAATTGTCAATTAATCATTAATTAATAATAACAATAATTACAAAATTAATTGATAATTATTAATGATTATTAATTAATTATTGAGTGACAAGTATTACTTATGAATTAATTAAGAATCAATGAATTATCAATCATTATTTTTTAAATTTTCTAACGGTCGTTCAGTCGGTACGAACCAATGAAAACCCTCCGTCAATCACAGCCACCCACAGTGCCCCCGTTTCCCTAAATTCGTCGCCCCCCTCGTCGTTCCGCTATTGTTCGCGACGGTGACTGGACGTTTAGAGAAACATTTTCGACTTTGCGAACTGCAGGAGCGATCGAAGGCCCAGAGTGTACTCGTCGAGGTCGGAATGCCCTCCCCCGGATTCCACGAAAGGTAACAGTGATTTAAAAGTGTTTACAGTGAAGTGTTCGGAATTTTTTATTCGCGTCGGCTGATTTTTCGGATCGGATTCATGTGGCGTGACCTTCCAGGCAATGATTCCTCTTTTTTTTGTGATTATTCTTCGCGAATTTTTTTTTATTGAATTCACTCATCGTGTCGGAACATTGAATAACTAAAAATGGGAAAAAATCGACAATGAGGAACGGATAGCGTGATGTTTTTCCTTTGTTCGAAATTTTCAACGTTTGCGCCAAAAATCGGTACAGTAGTCCCCCTCCCCTCCCCCTCCCCCCGTGGATCCGTTGGCCCATCCTTTGTCGTTGACTTGATCGGTCATTCAGTCCTCGGTCGTGACACCACTCAATTAATTCGGAAAAGTATTTATGTGCTTTTTTTTGTTCTATCGAATTTCGACAATCAATCGACTATTATTTCGCGGAATAAATTAAAAAATTCAAAAATAAGGTGCCGTGGTGCAAATACAACAGGAAATATACCAGTGATTGGAAAAGAAAATTCCATTTTTATTTTTTTTCGATTTTTTAAAATCATTTTTTTGAGATATAATTTTTTTTGTTATTTCACAAAAATTGAAATATGGGAGGGTGGGGTAAAACGGACACTTCAGACTTTTTTTTTAATTAATCTTAACTCAGAAACAAATTGATCAATTGAGCCCAGTTCAGGCTCGTCCCAAAGGGAAAGAATTGTTCTTTGTATTGAAAAAATAATTATTAAATTTTGTCAACATTTTTAAAAAAGTCAAAAGTGTCCGTTTTACCCCAACCTCCCCTAGTTGTGAAAAAGCGTGTCAATTAGGGATGAATAACGAAACGGATAGCCTTGTTTTTCCTTTGTTCGAAATTTCCAACGGTTTGCGCGAAAAATCGGCGCAGTCGTCCCCCTCCCCCTCAACCGTCCCCCTATCCTTTGTCGTTGACTTGATCGGTCATTCAGTCCTCGGTCGTGACACCACTCGTCCCGCGGAGACTTCTGTCGTCTCAATTGTTTCGGAAAAATATTGACGTGGTTTGTTCTATCAAATTTCGACGATCAATCGACGATTATTTCGTGGAATAAATTAAAAAATCCGAAAATAAAGTGACGTGGTACAAATAGAACAGGAAACGTACCAGTGATTGGGAAATGAATAATTGTTTTGAGATACAATTTTTTAAAATTTAACAAAATCGGAATAATTGTGAAAGTGCGTGTGAATTAGTGATGAATAATTGTTCAGTGGAATTTTCTACCGGCTTCATGAGTGAAAATGTTCGCGGTAAACCCCTTGCCCTCAATCCGCCATTCTTCCCGCGTTTTTCTCCGTGTGCGGCCGCCATCTTGCATTATAGTAGTGCCTTCCCGCCGGTGACCGTGAATTTGCGTAAACAATCCTTTTTCGGTTCGATAATTCGACTGCCAGAGGACTTAGTTGATGAATAAAATTTTTTAATAGTGAAAAACCATTGAGAGATATCGAGGTTTATTGAACTCACGGGAATAAATCTCTAGTCATGCCCATTCTCCTTTTCGTGCACTGACCAATTGATCGTAGGAATCAACTTAGACATTTAATTGCTATTTAAATAATGACAAAAATTATTAGTGAGTTTTAAAAAAAAGTGTGTACCATCGGTGAATTTTTGGAATGAGAAAATGGAGAATTCTGTTAGTGGAATATTTACTGAACACTTGTGTGTCTGAAAAGTTGGATTGTGCATTGTGAATTGACTTTGAACATTCAATTCTACGGATTTTTCGTCCACTTCGATGATGAACCAACGAGTGTTTTGCCGGCCGGTCAGCACATTGGCAGCCACAAGGTAAGACGTATTGTTCCTATTCCCGAAGATCCGCTGACGCGTGTATATGGTCCTCACGTCCAGACTTTGGTAATGTAGCACTCCAAAAAATTCAATCTCTAAGGTTTACGGAGGAGTCAAATTCTCTAAAGGATTCCTCTCCGACAAAATGCTCGAGAGTATGTTAAAGTTACAAAAAGATAAGGTTTTCTCAATTATATGATTGAAATTCCCTACGTAAAAAAAATCTCACATCGAACCCAACATGAAATCTTTCATGTACAGTTTCCCTCCGAACCCCCTCATAAAAAATAATTACGTATATGAACCTTCCTATATATAATACAATTTCTTTGCTATCAATTGCTGAGAATTGTATACGCTCCCCCGACCCCAAAATTTGTAGAATTGACACCTGTCAAACCCATTTTTCAACAGAAGAAATAAGAGAAGATAATCTGTCCGGGTTAATTGACGCGATAGTCAAATGAATTTTAACGTGACCCTTCCCTGGGGTTGTGAGGCCCAGGTATACTCCGTGGTACGTTAATAATATCTACAGTACTGCTGCTGACGATAAGTCACTCGAAAATAACTGAATTAAAAGTCCAATGAACGGGATTTCAATAATTAACCACAATTCACTTAAGAGGAGACGGAGGAACCCCTTTGTCTACATGAAATCTTCGAATTGTGTTATCTCCTACAATTATTAATTTCTATCTATGAAATTACTTTATCGACTCGATTATCGCATTGTTGAATCAATGAAGTAGTTTAATGAATACAAAATAATAATTGCAGGAGAAAACAATTCTAAAGATTCATATAAACGCAGGGGTTCCGTTTCCCCTTAAACTCACTGTCTAATTGATGAAATAAAATATTGATGAAAGAGATCGGATCAATTAGCCCCTCATGTATAGATATTCCAAATTTTTATTTTTTTCCTCATTGAAGTAGTTTTGAAGAAAATTGCGAGCTAATAAAAAACATTTGCTAGTTAGTACTTTTTTTAAAATAAATTTTTGAAAAATAAGGCGTGAAACAAAAACCCCTGAAAAAAGGCGTTATCCCCCCTATTTCAATATTTCCAAAAAATTTTATCACCAATCGGTAGCAAATTTTTTTGCGAGTTAAGAAAAAATCGTCAATGCATTCCTATTATTGTGTAAATTAACAATTCCAATTTCAACTGAAAACGAGAGTTGATGACAAGAGTTTGTAGCAGAGATGTCAATGACATTTCTCATCTTTAAAGACTTCTGCACGCCATTTTTCGAGCCGCTCTTTCATTTGAGCCAAAAAAAACATTCATATCTTATCTGACATCTCTGTTACAAACTCNTTTCAGTTGAAATTGGAATTGCGAATTTACACAATAATAGGATTGCATTGACGATTTTTTCTTAACTCGCAAAAATCTTCAAACAATTTGCTATCGATTTAAAATTTTTTGGGAATAATGAAATAGAGGGGATAACGCCTTTTTTTTCAGAGGTGATTTTTCAAAAATTTATTTTAAAAAAAGTACTAACTAGCAAATGTTTTTTATTAGCTCGCAATTTTCTTCAAAACTACTTGAATGAGGAAAAAAATAAAAATTTCGAATATCTATACCTGAGGGGCTAATTAATCGGATCTGATGAAAGAGTTCACAAAAATTAATAATGAAGAGTTCACACGATATAGGATAAATAGCTATAGTACTCTATAAAACTTGATAACATTAAACCGGATATTTGGTTTAAAGGCGAGATCGCGTTATGTCTCGATGTTTTCGCTTTGGAATCTTCGCTAATACTAACTTAATATATTTCTCAAATCTACTCTTCATGTACAATGTGAAAAGTGAGGGTAAAGAGGGTTGTTCCCTTGTAGAGAGAGGATACAAAAATTTTCCTATTGGTGAAAAAGATATTTCGGCGGTCGTCTTCAATATTATTTTACATGTGCGACCGAACATAATCTGTGACTATTCGTTTAATTGATTATCAATCTATATTTATATGAGTCCTCATATAGCCCCTCTTACATATAGAAAAAGTTACTTTTATTTGTTCCTCCTAAGGAATGGTTAGTTCGTCGTTTCTTCGTCCTGAAAACATTGTTACCATCTTGAATAATTGCAATCTTTGACTATTTTCTCGGTTGAATGAAAGGTTTGCCACGTGCAATGGGAGTTCTTTTCAGGGGAATATAAACAATATAGGTTTGAGAATTGTAAACTAGCCACGCCGAAGGACCTAGTTTTCGTTTGATGAGGAGTTAGCTTCGCCGAATAGGAGTTTTCACACAGAGAGAAAATTCGAAAGTTCAAAATTTTGCAAAAATTCGCTATCTCCCTTAGTTGTAGAAATATTTTAGAAAAACTCACCGACTCCTTTTTTTTTGGCTTCGGATTCCTAATGCACCTCCCCCCCCCCTTTTTTTTCCCCGCAAATTTTAGTAAAAATTCGCTATCTTCCTTAGTTTTGGAGATGTTTTAGAAAAATTTACCGACTCCGTTTTTTTGGCTTCGGATTTCGAATGCACCCCTCCTTTGTCCCCAAATTAAAAATTTTAGTAAAAATTCTTGTTTGATGAGGAGTTAGCTTCGCCGAATAGAATTTGTTTTCAGGGAAATATAAATATAGCTTCAATAATTCTTAAAAAAACAACAGACGATCAGTTCTGTCCGCCTACCATTTATAAGGTACATACTGTAGAAAATAATTACTTCTGATTGCGGATAATTCATAAGTCGCCTTCTGGCTTATCCAAATTCCCGCCAAACACTGCCATCTTTCGGATACCGTTGGGACAAACTGTGGATTGGGAATTGGTATTTCTACAGAAACAGCCAACTTCACACTCCACTCCGTTAAACGTTTTTGACAGCATTTGGAAAGTGTTTGTTCTCTCCTTTATTTCAGTCGAGGATTCAATCCCTTGTTATGATGAAAATAAGTAGAAAGTGATTGTGACATATTTAAAAGTGCAATTGCATTTGTCTGACGCACGTGAGGTGCAAGTGTCAAGTGTAAAATCAACGAAAATGAATCCTTTGATTGACTTCGACGAGTGCCTCCGGGATACGCCAAAGTTTAGGTAAATAATACCATCATTTATTACTTTTATTAGCAAAAACATCGTCTCAACAATTGAAAAGAAAAAATAAAAATCTTTGAGAGAATAAAAATCCTGTTTTAGTAAAAAATATCAATGGAAATTCGTTAAATTCTTTAATGGTTCCATAAAAAAAAAATTTATGAACGGAAATAGATCCTTTGTGATTTTATCACCGACTACGAGATGACCCAGTTGAACAAAATAATCACAAATGAAAGTAATTGTGCACTCAATATTTAATGATTAAATTATTTAAGATCATGTATCGAGAAAGTAGAGACGAACATCGATCAATTGGAGCAGAAATTGGATAAGGTGAGCATTAAATCTGCTCTGAATATTTTTTCTTCATCTTTAAAATTCTTTTTCAGTTCAATTCTTAATGGGATTTTTATTGTCCTTTCAGGTGCTAAAAAACTGCAATTCGATGATAGACGCTGGAAAAATATACGTGGGACACCAGAGGTATGTGAGCAACGAATAACACAAGCAGATTAATGGTTCCATTAAATGGGGGAGATAAATTACTGGTCTGGAGTAGTGAGTGAGTCATACTCGCTCTCGGTTGAAACATTGAGCTCGGGGTAATCAAATAGCGTGATTATGTTTTTTTTTATCAAGGCTTTCCTGGGATTAGTGGATCCCGAATTGTTGATCATGTAACTGAAATGAAATTCAATTTTCATTAGACTCTCAACCCATTTTTCAAGTCTGAACAGTATTTTTTTAGAATTAAATTTTGTATTTTTTTGCTTCCGAGGGGAAGCTTTGCAATCGTTCAAATTTAAGTCTCCTATTTTTCGTGTTAAGATCACTAAATATGGAGTCTTATTTCTTCATTTTCTTTCAGATTTTTTTTTCGACATCAATCAAAATTCAATTTTTAATGCAGATCAGGGATAGCCATTAATATTACATTTCTTCAATACTAAAAAGATTTCCGACATACATTGATGAATGTTTAAATATACTCATCAAAATAAAAAATACTATAATAATAATTTACATTGCCGATTGAGGATGAATTAAATATTCGATAATATGGAACTGTAAATTGTCCATTAAGTAAATAATTCTAATATCGTAAAAGGGATTTTCAATTAACCAAATAATCATCAATCTTCCTACGTAAATTATCTCTATGTATTATAAAAATTCAAATCGACTTCTGGTGATGAAAATTTTATACTTGAAACTAAGACGCCAAAACTAAGGGTCAAAATAATGGTTATAAGGGTCAGAATAAGAATTAAAAGTTTCAAAATAAGGGTCAGAATGAGGGTCACGAGGTTCAAATTAAGGGTCACAACGATCAGAATAAGGATCATGGGAGTCATGTGGATCATATAGGGTCATATGGGGGTTGTCGGGCAGAGCGAGCAGGCCGCCCTCTAGTTGATTGATGAAATAATTCAGAATTTGAAGGATCATAAGGATTAGATTGAGGGTCACAAAGATCCGATTGAGGGTCCAAATAAGGGGGATTGGGGTCAGGATCACGAGGGTCACAATAAGACGTCTAAAACGGGTAAAAATAAGACGTCTCTATCCCTCTATATTATAAAATCCAAATCGACTTCTGGTGATGAAAATTTGGTACACGAAATAAAGACTCCAAAATTAAGGGCCACAGGGTCAAAATAGAGGCCATGAGGGGCATGATGAAGATCACGAGGGTCAGATTAAAGCTCACAACGGGCAGAATAAGTATCATGGGAGTCGTATGTGGATTATGTGGGGGTTGTCGGACAGAGCGAGTGGGCCGCCCTCTAGTTAATTGATAAAATAATTCAGAATTTGAATAAATTGATGATTACCTGAATAATTAAAATTTTAAGAGTGACGTTAACTAATTGATGGCTTCACAATTTAACGGTCATTATGATTTATGAATATGGCCATCCCTGATGCAGATACGAAAAAATTGATATTTTTCCAAAAAATTATTTTTCAACAGTCACTCAAAATTGTCATTAAAATGGAATTACAGAACTCCTAGAGATCGACTAGAATTTTCCAGCGAATTTGCAAACTTTATCTATAAATCTTTTTCGTAAGTGAATTTCTCAATTTCCAGTACAAACATCTTCAAAAGAAACATAAAAATGTCAAATAATATCTCCGTACGTGAGAATCTAATTCCCCCAATGACAAATGCAACTCCCCCCAATAAGTCCTCCAATTTTCCTCATTATAGTCAATTTGCCACAAGCCTCTGGGAGTTGTCCACCTATTTCAACGACGATCCAGAGGTGATGGCATCCCTGAATAAGCTCATCCACGCCCTCCAGGAGATGAACAAATTTCACACAATCCTTCTGGACCAGGCGTCCCGGACAGTGGTCAAAGACCTCACCCTCTTCATAAAAACTGACATGAAAAAAGTCAAGGAATCTCGTCACTACTTCGAGAAGATCTCGAACGATCTTGATCTGGCCCTCAACCGAACCTCTCAGATTCCAAAATCGAGACCCTCGGAGTACGAGGAGTCCTCGAATATTCTCTCAGCAACTCGATCTTGCTTTCGTCACACAGCCCTGGACTACATTCACACTCTAACGATGCTCCACTCTCGTCGTCGCCACGAGATTCTGGGGAGTCTACTGAGCTACATGCACGCCTGCTTCACGTATTACCACCAGGGGACAGACCTGGCCCAGGACTTGGACCCCTTCCTCAAGGATTTGAGCACAGAACTAGCGAGAATGCGTTTCGACTCGTCAAAACTCGAGAAAGAGATGGAAAATCGTCACATTTTGGTCACCAGCAGGGACCTGGTGCCTCAGAGTTTTCCAGGGACATCGAAAATGGAGGGATACCTCTTCAAACGCACCACCAACGCCTTCAAGACATGGAACAGACGCTGGTTCTGTCTGAGGGATCACCAACTGGTGTACAGAAAACGAACTGGCGAGGAGGACTACACGATTATGGAGGAGGATCTTCGTCTCTGCACGGTGAAGCCTGTTGTTGATAATGAAAGGAGGAACTGTTTTGAGGTGCTCAGCCCCACCAAGAGCCACATGCTTCAGGCTGACTCGGAGGAGATGTATTTAGCTTGGATTACAGCCACTCAACAGGCCATTGGCGCTGCCATCCAGAGAGGAATGGGAACGATCAATTTGAATAGTCTTCCAGCTAACTCCAAAGGTATGCAAAGGCATTTATATTTTGGTAGTCAACAAGTGATGCTGTCCCCAACATCTTTTAATGCGAGTGAGAAGATGTCTACAAACTCCATATTAGAGTCATTATCATGAGACAAATGATCAGTTCTGAATTTTTCTTTCATCTCGTTCGATTTATTTTTCCTCGTTACACTCGACGCCTCAACTGGAGTTGATTAATACTACTTTAATAATAAATAAAATTTTCCACAGGTCCCACCAGACCCCCATCTCGTCCCAAATCCAGAGTCTGGGAGCAGCTCCTAAAAATCCCAGGTAACGATCACTGCTGCGACTGCGGAAACACCAACCCCAGATGGGCGAGTATAAACCTGGGTATAACCCTGTGCATCGAGTGCTCAGGGGTTCACCGAAGTCTTGGCGTCCACTACAGCAAGGTGCGATCACTAACCCTCGACGACTGGGAGCCTGAGATCCTCAAAGTCATGGCAGAACTAGGTAACAACGTCGTGAACAACGTCTACGAGGCCGATCTCTCGTCATCGCCAGTAACCAAAGCCTCCCCAAAATGCTCCTCAGCAGTGAGAGAAGCCTGGATCAAGGCGAAATACGTCGACAAAAACTTTGTGAAGCCCATCACGATATTGGCGAGTGGAACGAGCCAACACACGAGTCGAGACGTCAATAGATTCCGAAGATGGAGTGTAAGAAAGCTGCGAAGAAGACCAAGAAGTCACGACAAGATCGATGGATCGAGATCTAAAACCTCCGGATTGGCCTCAGTCCATGAACAAACTCCCCCTGGCAACTCTGACGACAGTCTAGCCTCCGAAAAATCATCAGATAAACCACAGAACCCTGAGAGAACCTCCATGAGCTCCGAGGACAGTGAGACCCTAGATCTCAAGAACAACTCGACTCTATACAGCAAGCCCTTCTTGGAGAAACGAAAGAGCCAGCTTTCGGAGGACTCCAGTGACTCCAGGAAACCTCAGACACCAGATGAGAAGTCAATCTCCAATGATGTTGATGACGACGACGAGAACAAGGACTCTGGGACCGAGAAGATGATCGATAAGGATGGAGATGTCCTCATGTTTGGGTGTGATCTGCCCAAACCGATGATCGAGGGCAGTTTGGAGTTGAGTTCAGACCAGGACTCAACAGCTGGTGAGGAGGAAGAGTTTGCTGATGAAGAGGACATAGAGAACCTTCATGCTGACATGTTGCTTTACAAAGCAGCTGCTGCACACAATCTTCCAGTTATGTGTGCTGCATTGGCTGCTGGTGCTGACAAGGCCTGGTCGAATGTCAATGATCGAGGGAGAAATGCCCTTCATCAAGCCATCATCAGTGGTTCTGTCATGTCGTGTGAGTATTTGATACTCAATGGAGCGAGAATCAATTGTCAGGATGCTGAGGGCAAGACTCCTCTTCATTTGGCTACTGAGTTGAGTCACACTGCGCAGGTCTGCTTGCTGCTCAAGCATCGGGCTGATCAGCATATTGAGGATGAGAGGGGGATCAAGCCGCTGTCCATTGCTGTGCAGGAGGCCAATGCTGATATTGTGACGCTGTTGAGGCTTGGGCTGCTCAATGAGGAGATGAAGGACTCGGAGATTGGTGTCACTGGGGACGAGACGTTCAATGATGTTGTGAGGGATTTTAGCCAGCTTGCCTGCTCTCATCCTGAGAGACTGCAGAGGAGGAATGAGGGGGGCAGTGTCCAGGGGACAGAGTGAGGGGATTTGGAGAGGGTTTCAACTTGTGAAGAACAATTCCTTTAAGGGGAGACTACTTCCCAGTAAGTTAAAAGTCGTGGGCTATTGGAATCAGATTTCTCAGGTCTAAAAATTAATAATTAGTGCAAAAAAATTGATTGTTTATTGTTCGTTTGCTACGCAGGCGCTTAAAATGTTGAAAATACTCCAGGATTTTCAATTTTTGAGCTACAGAGGTCTTTCCAAAATTTTTGAAAAAACGTGCAATAATTACGAATTAGTTTCTTGAAATTCAACTCAGCTATTTTTTTTGTAATAAAAAATTGCACCATTCGGGTAAAATAGCCTGAAAAATAGTTCTGAAAGGATCGAGAATATATTTTAAATATTTTAAGGATAATTTTACTGCCCATTTTAAATTGAAATTAAGTGTGTGGGAGTCGGATTTCAAAAAAATATTTCTTAATTGTTATTGTACACTTTTTCAACAATGATGAAAAAAACACTGTAGCTGAAAAATTCGCACTATTTATTCGTTTTTAGACATACATAATCGATCTTCAATGAATGAGAAATTTTCAAACTCATAGTAGTCTCCCCTTAACTGGTATGATGAAAAATTCTGCCCAAAATTCCGTGGCGAAGCGGTAAAATGACTCAAGCCAAATTCGATTATTGATCAGTTTTCAGTGAATATCTCGGAATCTAAGGCAGATGGCAAACTTTTTGTCATAACCTTTTTTATAACTCTCCGATTACTCTACCAAAAAGGTTATTACAAAAATTTCGCAATCTCTCTTAGATTCAGAGATATGCCTTAAAAATTTGAATCATTTTACCGTTTCGCTGCTGACTTATTTAGGATCAACATATTTTCAGATTTTTTTTTTACAATTTATCTTCAATTAGACTGTTCTGCAAATATTTCTAAAACTAATGCAGTTATCACAAAAGGTCTTCTGATTTTTTAATCATAAGCTTGTTAGTTTTGGATATATTTTGGGAATCAGCTTCATGAGATTCTTGAAGATATTATTTTTGAATTGTTACCCGGTCTAAATCAGAGATTCCATTGCCAATTATATAGGCTTTATTAGTGATTAGATTATGTTAATGATTGATGCATTCGATGATGAATTCGGATGTTTTGATTATAAGTGATTTTTTTATTTTTTATCGACTAGAATTGAAATTATTTGATTGTTAGATTTTAACTCCAGGTATCTCAGTCCAAGAATAATTGAAATGCAGTGCTAATTTCCATAATTGATTAGATCATTTTTAAACTCAATGTTTCAATGTTGTTGTACATAAAGTGGTTGTTGAGAAATTTATAGAAGTCTTCCGGAGCTCTAGACGAGTGATAAAAGTCGATTGGTTCTGTAAATAAATTTTTTTTTAACCCGAGGAATATTCTTTAGATCAACTGACGTTTTCAGTGAACCATGGACATTTCTACTATTTTTAATTTCGATATTTTTAAGGCCATTATTTTACTTAATTGATTAACCAGGATTTATGTTAAAAATATCACGGAAGAGTAATCTCATTGGTGCATTAGTAATCTTAGTGCCAAGTGGTAGAGTAATATGGAAGCAGTATTGTAAATTAATATCAATAACATTTATGATATCTTATGAATAAAATAGAGTAATTGTGATCAATGTCTTCTGAGATGAATTTCATTTTTTTAACGGCGTTTTAAAAATTTGTACTTATTTGTACATTGATTATTGGATCAATAAAACACTGAGCGATATTTTACATGTACATTCTTTATTCCTAGTTGGTTAATAGAGCTAACTATCTGCAGTTGCTTTGATTCAAGGGATTTGACAATTTTCGACCCCTCGAGACCATCTCAAAAAAAAATTAATCACCATCAGAACTAGAGAAATCGTAAGACACGAGTGAAGTACTTTTGCTCGAGGAACTCGAGTTCCCAGAGTCATTCAATATTTTTTTCTGCTCGATAATTTGTGGTTTACTCGATATGCCTAGAATTCCTCTTCGTTTAGTTTTAGATTTCGAAACAATCGATACTAATCGCTTGAGGGAGGAGCTCTTGCTCCTCCTGGGGTCCCTCTTCTTGTTCCGCATGAGAATTCCCGCCAGTTTAACGTCATCCTCGTGCTCATCCACCAGATCCAATTCAACTCCAACACTTTTCAATAGAGGAAGCTGTTTCCTCCTCTCCTTGTCCTCTTTCTTTCGATTTCTAAAGGCGGTACGAAGTGCTGCATTCGCGGAGTAGTCGTCCTGCCACCGAGACTCATTTTTAGCTAGGATTTTGTTTATAGCGGGATCCTGTGTTTTAGCAATTTTTAGATCGTCCACTCCGTGTTCTAATTTGAACATTGCATCGTCGTAAAGTCTTTTCGATACTTCTTTCGTTTCGGGGACCACTTGCTCATTTTCTTTCGGATCCCAACGATTTTCCTGACGACGAGCTCCGCTCTCAATCACGTATGTTAGATTCTAAATTATGGAAGAAAAAAATCATTGAATGCTTCATCAGTCCTTCAAAAATTTTACATTTTTTTGTTGAACAAGGTTTTCATTGAAATTAAAAACTAATTATTTACATATGTAACTATGTAAAAAACTAGTATCACTAACTTTTATGGAATATATTATTTTTGACATGTTGACTTGAGTGCATTTAATACGCCGTGGCTATTCGCATTACCATACGTAGCGTGTGACACGCGGCGCGTGAGACGCAGATTCAGATATGGGTTGGCCAGCACTACACACGCAGCGTGTCGCACGCAGAAATTCATATAAGGCTCGAGTGCAGGAGCGGGTATCGAAATATAGTGCAGATGATTCTAAGGATAATTTTCCAAGCAGGGGTGACTCCTAGACCCCACTGGACAAAGTTGTCACAACTCTGGTTTTCAACTCTGAAACTAGAGTTCATATTGCAGAGATGTCAGACAAGATGTGGTTTTTTGGGGCCCGAGCGCGGGAGCGGGTATCGAAATATAGTGCAGATGATTCTAAGGATAATTGGTTGGCACGTTGCGTATTATTGTACTACCGGCCGACCGTTATAGGAATTTCTGCGTGTCACACGCCGAGTGTCACATGCAGCGTGTGAGACGCTGCGTATTGTACTATTGGTCGACCCTTATATGAATTTCTACGTGTGACACGCTGCGTGTGGTAGTGCGAATAGCCACGGCGTATTTAATATTTTGGGATTTAGTTTGAGACAGTATACTATTTTTAATAATAGAGTGCAATTATATCAGCAATTGAAAACAATTTTTAAATTAAGTCAAGAGTGGTATACTCACCCCTGGATCTGTTTTAATCTCGAAATGATTATCACACAAGTGACATTTCATTCGAAATGAGTACAAGGGAGTGCTGTAATACATTCCAACTTTTTTCTTTTCCGCGTTGTAACGCACCCCCATACCAATATGATTTCCACAGCCCTCGCACCAGATATTGAATGGCATTTCAAATCTAATGATGAGGATACCCATGTGGAGCTTGCGGGCTCGTTCCCGGAGTGCATGAGTCCCCAGGAACTTGTTGAGACCACCGGCTTTGGGGTCATAATCGGGGGGATAGTATAAATTCTGTCCTTTGCGTTCTCCCATTGTGTCTAGAAAGAAAATGAAAAAAATACCATAAGGTCAACATTCTAGTGAACTAGAATGCATAAACTACAGTTGAGTCTTTGAGTGTTACGAAAACAAATGAATTAAAAAAAATTATTCGCCATTGATCATTTTTTCCATGAATTCTAACTTTGATGAATCTAAGAAATTGAAAAAAATATTCGCTGAAGTTTTCGATCAAATATTTTTGCTACTTAAAAAAAGTTGTGTGAAAGAAAGAATGGAGTGCAACTAACATTAACCTCAACTTTTTATTTCTTAAATATATTGCAGTCTTACCCTAATTGAGGTAAATGAATATAAGAACGAGATTATTAGATGCTCTGAAGACGTTCAGAACATTATGAAAATGTTTATATATTCACTTAAGACGTAGAAATTTGAGGGATTGACAGGAACTAATGTTTTGACACGACGAAAACACTGAAGTCAGGTGTGCTATGGAGTGCGTAGTGCCATTTGACTTTGCGATGACTGTGACGGACTGGACACATTTTATCAACTGAGGGTAAACAGTTAACAGACAATAGATCAGGTACTGCCCCAGAGATGGCGCAACTGGTACCTCCCTGATGGTAAGAAGCAGTATCTTATCCAAGAATCAGGGATTCCTTGGATAAGGAATCCCATAAAATAAAACATGAGAATTTTTTTTTCTCATCTTTTATTTGGATATATAAAACACTATAATCTAATTGTCAAGGATGCGACGTTTCGCTAAATTTGTTGTAGCTTCAGGCTCTATAAAGAAGTAAAAAAAACATGCTGAAAATAATCCTTGACAATTAGATCACAGTGTTTTATTTCTCGAAAATCCCTGACTTCTCGTTCAATTTACATCGCTTGGAGATGAATACGTTTATTGGCAGTATCTTATATTTGAAAAAATCTGGACTGAACTTCTTCGCGTTAAGCCTTCAATTTCAACCAATCAGAGCCATGCATCCCACCTTAAATCAAACCAAAAAAATTAAGAAGAGTTCAAGCTCAGAAATTTCTACAGAAACCATCTCGACAGAATGAAGTTTTACCGAAAAAATCACAATCCATCGACTTGTTGTATACAACATTTTACATGGGACATTTCTAATAAATAAAACGTACGCAAAAGCCGCCGAATACTTTGATAGAGTCTGCGAAAACCAAATATAATGTTCAATAGAGGTGCAATTAAAGCCGATAGAATTTCCATCAAATGAGCCGTGCATCCAAATAAACCATCAGCATCTAATCTTCAAAAGTACAAAAAAAAAACGGATTTTCAAGTACCATCGTGACCGAGTTTTGGAACTCGTCGTTCCAGTTTGGAAAGAATTTGGCTGATGCAATAAAGTAACAGTGATAACTTATTGTTGTCTGAAACCAAAACCATTTAATCAATAATATTTTCGGACGATTAAAAAAGATACAAAAGGGTCATGCATTAGACACCATCGATCCGGGCAGAGTTATTACATTGGAACGACGCTAGAGTGAACACACTGGATGTCCTAGCACTAACGACTCAATTTTAATGTAATGTAAGCACACAATGGTTATACATTCTGCAAGGACCAATGGAAAAAGAAGTATATTATAGATAATTAAAAGAGAAACTCTCTTCTACGAATATTTAATTCCATTTCTGGAGCATTCAGAGTCCGTAAAAATTCAAAGTCCCACAAAATCCAAATAAGTATAAAAGTTTGAACAATTTTATTGAAAAAAACCTGCGGAAAAGCCACGGAATACATCGATAGAATCAGCAGAAAATAAATATAATTTTCAATAAAAGAACAATAAAAGACCGACAGAATTCCCAACCCAATAAACTTCCCAGCCAAATAAACCACCAATATCCAATCCTCAAAAGTACTGAAGACCTTTAACCCAAATTCCAAGTTTTATCCCGAATTCTTGAAAATTCCCCCAAATGTATTCCTTCTCTTTCCCACATTCAATTCCCTATTCATCCCTTCATCGCTGATTATTACCAATAAAAAATGTAGAGCAAAAATTCAATACTAAAATCAGAATAGCGTCATAACTGCAAAGAACAAAGCCAAGGCAGCCATTTAGGCCATTATTTCATATAATCGCTGCACGGCGAGTATCAAAACTAGTATTACGACTTGCTAAAATTGCTCCAGCATCCCAGCGTCCGTCGCTATCCCACATGAAAGCATTATTGTTATTTGGGTCGCGGCAATGTGGCGCCAAGCGTCTCGACATTCCCTATCCAACCCCCATCAACCCTCTCCCCCCTAGCCACCCCGGGGGGTGGGGGCGTTAGTCATCGCGCATTCCACCCCTCCGCATCTCTTCACGCATTTGTCCTCCTCGAAGTTTCATAAAAATTGCGAATGCAATACGTGATTTATATCCCAGTATTATAAGAAACGAAAATCAATGAAAATTGTGTCGACTTTTTGGTTCCGAATGCACGGAGAGAAAAGTTGGATAAACATTACCTAGAAAATTGTGACACATTTTAGTATACAAATGGTAATTGGGGAGCGAAATTTTCGCTAATTTTTTTTCAACTCTTCTCTGTGTATGTATGTGTGTATGTGCCGGATTGTTTTTCCAGAAAAAATGAAAAAAATTATTGTTTGAAAGAATCCAATTATGATTTAAAATATTCTTCCCAATGCCATCTTGACCGAGTTCGATAGCTGTGTGAACTTGGAGTCGAAGTTTGATAAATCGATTTTTTTTCTTATAGTATCGATTGTACTCAGTGAGTACCTAAATGTACCACATTCATTTTCGTTTGTACCCCACATCCCTAGACGTAAGGGGTGCGGGAAAAATCGTGCAGCCTCGAAAATGAAGGTACGGAAAAAATTTTCATGAGCAAAGATTCAGCATGGATAGTACTTCTATGTACTATATTTTTCCATTTCATTTATCAACCCCTTCAATACTTTATCCGCTTCTAAAATCTTAAATGTATGAAGGACGCCAGGAAAACATACAGATAGCTTCTAAATCGTTAGTACTCGTTTGTACCAACGAAAATTATTCATTATTATTATTATTATTATTATTATTCTCATCAAATCACCTGATTCCATTTTTATCAACCGTAAAATCATCGTAATGGATTCCATATGTAGTTCGTGAAGTTTCGATGTGGGTACAAACGTCTCATCTTCCGTACTTCCACTCCCATCGCAGTACAAACGGAACAATTTACTGTACATGATAATGAGACCAAGTACAAACCATTCAGAGCTTCAAAAACAGTCGTAGATTATTAAGAAAAAAGGTACAAACGTTTTTCTGAATTTTTCCGAGATAATCGCGGAAAACGAGATCGCCAAAAAAAATTAATTTAATTGATCTTGTATAGGGTGTAGGACGTGGAAAAACGTAATTCTGAGCCATCCATTTTCCTATAGGGAACCCAAAATTGGTTTTAAGGCTCTATCTCTC